TAAATTATGCTAATTGGAAGAGAAGAAAATGCTGGTAATGGAATAAAATGGAATACTATTTCTTATAGCATCTGGTGCAATCTGAGCCATTTAAAAGTGCATCTTATGGAATAGAGCTCTGAATAAGCAGTGCCAGTCTGATTACAAACAACATGGGTCTCATTAGAATATGTCAATCTGATTGCTAGGTAGTGATACACTGCAGATTACTAGGCCATAATTGCCTCTTACATATTATGTGTATAATATATAGTTTCTCTGGGTGTATGTTAAAGCCACTTTCTCTCATGGCTATCTTTTCCAGCTCTATACAAAGAAATGCCTATGTTCCACTAAGCTGATTTTAACTGGGGTCCGTGAGTCCTAATTCTATTTTCTTCTGAGTATTCATCAAGTTTTCTACAGCAGTGCAATAAACAAAGAATTATGTCCAGAGCAATTGCCAGAAATAAGATATGTCAGGGGTCTATTACCCACTCAACTGGGAACCGTCAGTGGCTCAAGGCACTTCCTCCAAAAGGAAAGGGTAAAATAACTGAGGCTAAAGCCCACTGTAGCTCCATGTCTTAATTTGCTTGTTGATTTGTGTCATGCATTTTTTCATTGTCAAAATCCGTAACTGGAAGAATGCAAACATCTCAGCCTAGGTCATGACTTCGGTGCAAACTGTGCCCTTCACGGATGTAAAATCACCTATGTGAGCTCTGAAAGCAGGACTTCAACATTCCCACTTTCCAGGAGCACAATCTCTCCAACACTTGCTCTACACCGTACATACCCTATCCCTGCCGGTACTACAGCCACCTAGCCCAGCAATGTAAAAAAGCCAATCTCCACTCAGCTGCAAACCTTACTGAATACTTGGAATATGCCTTGGGGTGTAGAGGTAGAGGATTCAAGAGACTTGAGCTTTTGTATCGACTGTAAAGCTATAAGTGGTGCAACATGGGGTGAGTCTGATTGCTGCTCTTTCAGATTTTTCATCGGACACTCCAAAAAATAGATTTCCAAAATGTATTTTAGAGAATTTTTATTCCATGGGGATGTTAAAAGGGATTCATTTCCAAATAGATTTGCAAAAGATTAGGTTAAATTGGCAAAAATTGGTTTCTTTACTACAGGGCTTCTCAGAGTCTGTAATATACCAATGTGCCTTATGAATCTACAGAAAAGGGTTGTGAAATACATCATTGTTACTCAATCTTATTAGGCCATGGAGACTTCCCTGCCCTAAACTATCTTCCGCTGAACAATGCTCATTGACATCTTATCAGCCTAATGTCATATCTAAATACCCACTCTCTGTTGTGCTACATTTGGACAGAATCTCCTGCCAATGGACTCATTCACACAGCCTGACTGGTCCATACAGACATACGTGTTTGTAGCTCCTGCTTTCTATAGTAGTTTTCCATAGAATTGATTACACTGAATTCTCAGTGTAATCTCAGACATCCTGACAAAGTAGGGAGCACTTTCTCACGTTTTAAAAGTGAGTAAACAGAGTTTCAGGGAGGTTAAGTGATTTGCCCAAGGTCACACAGCCAAAAAGTAGCCAAAGTGGAATTCACATGAAGTTTTTTATTACATCATGCTCAGTTTCTACCTCAGTTAATTTTCCTCTTGTCTTGGGATCCATTTTTGCTTCTATTTAGTTAATAACTAGTCTCTCTTTGTCACAGGCCACCATCAAAGTGAAGAATGGCATTTGACAAGTGCTATCCATGGCTTTTATGCTTAGAACACCAAAATGATAATTAAGGAAAATCACTACCTTCTCCCCAGTTATATATCAGATGGTTGTATCTTAGTGATAACAGAGTATACTTTGCTTTTAGCAAAAAGTAGAATATGGAGATGAATTCTTACAAAACGTAGTGTGTTAGATGAACATTGTAGTTATGTTACAGTTCTTTTCCACTAGAGCTTACCAAAAACAAACAAGCAACATGACAAATCAGTAAAACAATAAGCTATTCGGCAACAGAATAGTCAAGCAGTGTTTAGGGAAGAGTGCAATGGCATATAAACCTGCTCACAATGGCATATAGCACTTTCATCAAACTGAAACATACCCACCTGCTAAACTGTTTGATGAGACAGGATGGAGCAACTTGGACTCATCACTGAGTATGCCAGGATGATACAGATGTTAGGAGCAAATAGCTGGAGTCCAGCAGCTTGTGTTTAAATCACAAACTCTAATCCTTATTAGCAGCGTAGCCTTGGACTTGCTGTATGCCTTACTGTTCTCACCTATAAAATGGGGATAAGAGTACTTTTAACATAGGCTGTTGTGAGAATTTAGAGTTTAGTACCATGTCTGGTATTCAGTGAGTGTTCAAATACGTTAAAAAGAATGAAATCTTGTAAGTGTGGGCACTAACTCCAATTCTTATGAAGCCTTAGATCAAGGTTTTAAGGTCTAGTTCAGCTGATAGATGTCAAGGGGCTAGGGTGATGTGTTCTTGCACATTTTAGTTGTATTTTTATTTTCAAAGGAAAAAGAATGTTTTACATCTCTTGCCTGGTATTAGGGTTTATTTTATGCTCCCCACCCACCTCCTTCCTCCTAGGGAGACTGAGTGGCTAAGGGAATTTAAACCACGAAAGGCAGGCACTTTCATGTATAAACAAAAGATTGTGCCTAGAGAAAGTATAGAGATCTGCAATGCAGAAAGGCAAATGCAATTTCTAAAGCATCTGGATAAATGAGGATGTGAATGCAAATGTTAGAGCAAGTCTGAATGTTGTTTGTGCTTCTCAGCATCTCGGGGAAATGACCATTTGACGCTTGTGGGAGATCAAACTCAATGCTTGTAGATGCATTCACTTCTCCAAAACACTTTCCCTTTCTCTAGGTGCATGATTTTCATTTGTACTTGTAGAGACTCTCCAGCCACCCAACACTTTCAGTTCCTCTTCCTATGCTTACAAGAAAACAGATTTCCCACCTCCCAGGAGGTTATGTTTGGTTTGCGTGATTGGGTTCTGGCCAATGAGATAAAAGGAGTCAAAATAGAAGCCCTTTCTAAGCCTGGTCATAAAGGTTTCAAGACAATTGTCCACATTCTCTTCCCCTTATGTGATGCCCTTGGTCACGTAATGAACATGGCAGCATCGCAGTTGGGAAGGAGCTTGGATCCATGAGTCACTGCATGGAAAACAGTTGCCAGGAAAATTCTCTGGATCTTCATCACACTGTGAAGTAGGTTAGAAATAAATTTCGTCTGCGAAACCACTAAGAATATGGGGTCATTTATTAGAAGCTTGCATTCATTAGCACAAATAATATGAAATGTGACGTTATACTACACTAAAATCAATTTCAAAATTACTACTAAGTTTACATGTGGCTGGACATTGAGTGTGGAAAAATAGACATTGGAGACTCTGAAAGGTAGGAGGGTGAGAAGGGGCTGAGGGATAAGAAATTACTTAATAGGTACAATGTACATTCTTTTGGTGATGGTTACTAAAAGCTCAAACTTCACCACTATGCAATATATCTATGTAACAAAACTGCACTGTACTCCTTACATTTATACATTTAGGCAGGGCGCGGTGGCTCATGCCTGTAATGCCAGCACTTTGGGAAGATGTGGCGGGTGGATCACCTGAGGTCGGGAGCTTGAGAACAGCCTGGCCAACATGGTGAGACCCTGTCTCTACCAAAAATAAAAAAAATTAGCAGGGCGTGGTGATGTGCACCTGTAGTTCCAGCTACTCGGGAGGCTGAGGCAGGAGAATCACCTGGACCCGGGAGGTGGAGGTTGCAGTGAACTGAGATCATGCCAGTGTACTCCAGCCTGGGCAACAGAATGAGACTCCATCTCTAATAATAATAATAATAATAATAATAATAATAGTATATTTAACATATTACATGCGGCAATTTTGATACCACCCTACCAGCTCATTTTAGAACATGTAGGGAAAAAATACTTTGTGGGTTGACATTCTGTCTTGCTAAACAAGTGAGGGAGAAAATGCCAAACCTGATCCCTTTCAAATCACAAATATGCCACCAACTACCATACATATTAATATAGTTGATTCTATAGAGAGCAGCTTAAGTAAGGCATAAACACAAAGTAACCAGACATGACCCAGGTTCTGAAATTCTTTTTAAGACCCATGTTTTACAATGCTGCTGGTAACACTGAAGGCACACCCCTGCCCTTTGAAGCCAGATGCTCTTAGGGACTTTAGCTGAGATACTAAAATAAAACTTAAACCTGATGTTCAATCAATAGGTACTTTGCCAATTGATAATTTAATGAAATAGCATCACGAGGAGAGCATTAATCCTTAAAACTGTGGTCCTTAATATTTTTATATCCCATAGCAATTTAGAATTTGAGGAAATTTTGAAAACCTCCCCATCAAAGCACATATACAAATGTAATAACTGGCAATTGCTCAGTTTCTGGGATGCTGCTGGACCTGCTGGAGCACCAATGTACCCTCAAGGATCCATGGATCCTAGGTTGAAAGCACCTGGCAAGGATGGGTAACTGGTTGTTTGAATCAGTGACAAGGATGTAAGAGAGGAAACTAGGGATATTGAAGCAGAAAGTTTATATCATCAAAAAGCTACCGAGAATCACCACCATTTGTTGAGTTCTGGCTGGATGTCAGACACTGTGCTAAATGTTTCAATATATTTAATCTTTTTAAAGCTCTTGCATTGTAATTATCATACAAGCAAGGAAATGGGCAGAGAGAAGTTAAGAGACTTGCCCTAGACTGTATAATTAGTAAGTGGTGAAGCCTGAATGCCAACCAAAGTCTATAGTCTTAATTACAATGGTCTAAGTCAGATTTTCAAATGCATTGTTCTCAAGGGTGAAGAATCTTTAGAAGATAGTAATTTTTAACCTCTAAGTATGCTCAATTGGAATTTAAGACTTTTTTGTTTTAATTAAATGACAACAAATAATTAATTCATTTAGGCACACCGTATATATAGCAAAAGTTATTGAAAAGAGACAACCAGATTGCAGGGTTGTATACGGCAACTACTTTATTATTTTCAAATGCAAACTCTCTGCATTTAGTTTGCTATTTTACAATTTTACAAACTAGGTATAAAAGACCATAAATAAATGACATAAGTTATGTGTACCTAAAGTTCATGAAGGGAAGAAAAATACCTTGACAAATTAAAACAAAATAGAAAATCTATGTCTAACTCAAGAAATCACTCAAATTTTGGAACGTGTGAACCGAACAATGTTCTGTTAATTTCTTTTTCAGTATGAACTAAATTATAATATGCCTTATACATTCTAATTTTAACCACAGTCCTTGCATATTCCAACATACTTAGAGTGATACAAAAAATAAATGCACTCTTCAGTGTGTATCAATGCATGATGTTGTTTGGAGAATGTTAAATAAGTGAAAATATTGCTTCTAGAACTTTCCTTTACGGGTCAGAATTTAAGTGTCTTCAGACAAATATTGAGGCTATACGGGTGTACGGATTAATACACATATCCTTCACAGATTGAATACAAGAGGTCTCAGAACGCACACACCAGCAGTGTAGTGAGCACAACCTTTCTTTAAAATAAGAACGTTTTTCAACACACCAGAACATTTCACTCGTAAGATTGCTAAAAAATAACTTGGGGCCTGCATACACAAGGTGAAGCTACTTGATTTGGTGCAGTGGGGTAGTTTCCCGCTGCTCTAGAGATCGGCACATGAGTTAGCATTAGAGCTCACTCAGCCAGGGCTTGCTCACGGCTAGACCCAGACCCTGAAGTTGGCCTCCTACCTTTACCTCTGGAAAAGATGATCTGTTCAGAGATTCAACCTCATTTCTTTATACATATGTTTCAGGCATCAATGCATAGGCACATCCCTTAAAAAACATATTAAGGTCCCCACAAAGGGGTGAATTAACTTTGTCACTCTGGCATAGAATACAATGCCACACACCCTGTCAGAATGTAATAAATATTTATTGATGATTTTCTCTACTTATTCAACAATAAATGGTTCAGAATCTATTTTTTTTTCCTCATTTTTCCCTGATTTGATGTTATAGCTTATATAAATGGCCACAGTTTCTGCAACCATAGCTTAGGATAAGCAAGGCAGCCACTCAGATTATGAAAAATGGCAGTAAGTTGGCTGGAGTTTGGTATACATTATCTTATCAATACTGAATCTTCACACTCCGGAGCTCTGATCCTAGAAGGCTGATGCTCTTGTGAGGGCAATAGGAGTTAGCTGTGTATTAATTACTGTAGAACTTTCCTGGTAATTAGGGAATCTGAAATTGCCTGAGGCCATTTCATCCCAACGACCTTAACCTCAGGAGTCACTGGCATGCATTTTTCTGTGATATTGGGAGACAAAGTATTAATCCAGGACACACCATCTCAAAGCTGACACACATATCTACGTTCATCTCCAAAAGTATATGAATTGCATATATTTGTTCGCATTCAACAAGTCCATTTATGCAGGAAAACAAAGGCTACTTGTACTCCATTTGGGGTTACCAAACACATTCCATCTCCTTCTCTCTCTCCGTCGAGGAACTGATGATTCAGATGAGTTCAATCAGAATGTGTAATTTTGACGATGGGTTGTCACCTGAATGGATTTATATTTTCAATTACTTCACCATTAAGGTGAAAATGCCTCTGTCCAAAGCTGTAGAATTCTTATTAAGGTTAGTGTGACGGCTACAAAATACACGTATAGATCCAGGATGCTGAACATCTCTGGGTTGTCTTTCCAAGGGGACGGTCTCCAGGTCCACTGCATCATGTGGTTCTTCATCTTGAAACCGGTGGAAAACTAGAACTCTCCAGGTGTAGCATTCCATAACATTCACGGGTAGTCCTAAGCATGAGGCTACACACATCCACATCCACACACAGACACGCACGCATACACACACACTCACACCTATGTACACACATCAAAAGAGATAGTCAGCTCATATTTAGTCTAAGAAAAAAAATATATTTATATCACTGCAACGGCACACCCTGGGTAAAATGTTACTTCCGCAATGCATATCATAGGCAGCTCATGGAACTGGCTTTGTTTTGTGTAGTTGCACCTGACCTGGTGTCCATAGTAAGACCTGTAGCATTTGGTCACTTGCTGCCACACCAATGCAGCAGTGACATACAGGAATGAAATATGGAAATACATATAAATAAAACCGCAAAGAGTCCGGGGGCAAGGGCTCTGCAGAGCTGGTGCTGTGAGACAGTGCATTCCTCAGTGCAACTGGAGAACAGATGCTGAATCTGAAGTGTTTGCTGTTTCTTTCACTGGGAAAGGGGATTTGAAAGTCACACATTTATTCTTTTTCAGGTATAGGTGTTGTTTCGTCAGTGTCTTTGCCCCAGAACTGGCGTAACTGAAGTAGAAGAAACACATTTAGACGGAACTGAGAAGGGCGTGTTCTGTTTTCTTCCATGGGTTTTGTAATCAACAGGAAGGGCTGTGAGGCCAAGATAGCAGAATCTACTCCCTGTAGATAAAAGAGCAAGACTTTAGACAAAACGTCAACCAACACTGTGAGCCAATTGTCAACCACTACTGTAAGAAGGAATATATAGGTTCACAGAAGTTGGTATTCTTCAGTAAGAGCAGTTCAGTGGGGAGATCACGAACTACACTTTCCTTTTCTGAAAAATAGCAATTAGAAAAACAAAAAGAATGTTTACTAACAGCTTAATTACAACTCTGAGATAGGCACTATTCTTACCTCCAGTATGGGGATGAGGAAATTGAGCATAAGGAGGCTAAGTACCCTGCCTAATGCCATACCCTCTGGAGTGGCAAGGCTGGGATTAGACCCCACAAAGTTCTAGTCGATATTTATGCTTTAACCACTGTTGAACGGCCTGTCTATGAAATGAAAATCCTGACTTGTTTCAGTTCACAATCTACCCATAGTCAACAATAATGATTGAAAAATGCAAACTAAGAAGTGAAAAAAAGTGGTTATTTTTCTTAACAAGAGAGTAACTCCTGATAAACTGAAGTATCTAACGCAGCGAAAGAGCTGTACTCTCTACATGTAAGCAGGCGGGAGAGAGGGAACACGGGACACAGGGAGAGACTTGCTCTGTCAATGACACAGGTCTTCTAGGCTCAAGCCTCCTTCCGCATACCAAGAACTAATCCGCCTCAGGCTGGAATTCTAGACATCAGCCTGGAATCGAACAAGGTTGGCACGCAGCAACGGAATCGTCGTGGCTCCTCATTGTCCATATATTTGTCAAATAATCAACTCAAACCAAAGGAAGTTCCCTTCTTTCATTTGTAACAACCAACTATCCAGATTACTTATTGAACTATACCTCCCACCACAGTGACCATGTTTAGCAGCTGGTGGCCCCAATCAAAGGGCAGTAATTTAGACCAAAATGCACTTTTATAGATTATTTTGCCTATTTTATCAAATCACTTGTTTGTTTTGCATATGTGTACATTTATCGTGTAGAGAATAACATATATTTTTTTGTGGTAAATGACCATATTTAAAATTGTAGAAAACACTTTTTAGTCTATTTAAAGAGAGAGAAATAGTTTTCTGGCCAGGTGTTGTAGCTCATACCTGTAATTCCAGCACTTTGGGAGCCCAAGGAGGGAGGACTGCTTGAGTCCAAGAGTTCGAGACCAGCCTGGGCAAAAGAGCAAGATCTCATCTTTACCAAAAAAAAAAAAAAATGAGCCAGACATGGTTGTGCACACCTGTGGTCCCAGCTACTCAGGAGGCTGAGGTGGGAGGATTGCTTTGGCTTGGAAGACACAGGCTGCGGGTGCCATGATTGCACCACTGCACTCCAGTGGCGACTGAGTGAGACCCTGTCTCAAGAAAGAAAGAAAGAAAGAAAGGAGGGAGGAAGGGAGGGAGGGAGGGAGGGAGGGAGGGAGGGAAGGAAGGAAGGAAGGAAGGAAGGAAGGAAGGAAGGAAGGAAGGAAGGAAGGAAGGAAGGAAGGAAGGAAAGTTTGCTCATAAGTTATCCAGAAACAAATTTTATTTAAGCAATTTAAAATTATAAATGTGGGTTAGGGTATTACTACCCACACCTTGAAGAAGCCATTTGTTAGCCACTAAGGCTGTTCATTTTGACAATTATGTAAAAATGACAGAAAAGTCATCAAATCTACTTTCTAACTATTTCCTCTCTGGAAATCAGTCAAGTCCATCAAATGTAGTTTTTGAAACCTGAATGTGCAGGAATTTCATCAGGTAGGCAGGTATTTGAAGTATGAAGAGAACATGAATATGATCTTAAAACTCTAGAGTGTATTCCACATCCTATGGACACACAAGGTTGGTGATGGTTTCTTTTGCTACTAGAAATTCTTAGAGGAGAAAGAATGGTCTCATAAATATGTGTTGCCTTTCAGTCTGCCAATTCCTTCTCCACTTAACATCTGGATATCAACAGATATTACTTAAACACATTTGTAATATTAAGTGGACAATTTGGGGACTTGTGTGTATGCAAAAATGATTGGACATTTGAAGTGAGACGTACGGGAATGTGAAGACTTGTATCTACTTAATGCCAGGATAAGAGTTGAGTGAAATGAGCCTTCTCCTCACCATTGAATTCAGGCAACTCCTTTAACATGGGAAATTTCTTAAACAGAGACCAGACAAAGCATGTGGTCTACGTAGGGTCATGAGTTAAAGATAATTCATTGTGACTAAATAAACAAAGGCTTGTTCCTTTGAGTCAGTTGTGACGACATCCAAATGTCTTTACCATCCAGTTCTTTTCATTGCAACAGAATTTTAGTTGTGTGTATCACTGTCTTTCCCATTACAAAACAATAATTTTATAAATGTCAAGGCTAAATAATGCCTGTTTATCCTGCCAGCATAACTTGAAAGGTCTACCACCATTGTATAAATATGTATTTACCTCCAAACTCTCATAAATCCATTTAAGTGAAGAAGCTTCACTGCATGACCCCCCCTACCACTGAACTTCATTTCACCCCACTCTGGCATGTTGTAATAAAACAATTGGGGTCACAAGTGAAAGACAGATGAATAATACTTGGACAATGTTGGAGGAAGAAGTGCACCTTTCTTCTGTGGAACTCACCGCGTTTCACTTAAGAATATTTCATACACACTTGCAACACCACCATGCATTAGGAAAGGTGTTATTATTAAGGTATCATTATCTCTCTAATTTCCAGGTGGAGGAACGGAGTTATAAAGAAAAGTGGAGCGAATTTCCCAGTGTCAACATTTCAGTTGGCTTCAGAATCCATAGCTGTCCGGATGCCAGAGTCTGGCTCTGCGCCCTGGGAAACAATGCATCATTCCTATTGTTCTCACATTTCTCTTCTAAAACTTCATGGAGGCAGTGGAGAGAGTTAACACTTTTACTGTTGCTGGATATTATTTAAGGCACTTGGAAAGTCCTTTTCTGGCCTTTGCATTGGCCTTGACTCTAATATATGCATATGTTGAAATTTTTAAGATTCAGAAGGCGACCTTTGAATAAAATAAGATTTCATACTTCACCTCTCTTTTGATCCTTCCCTGATTACTTCATTTACAGAAATACCTGCTGAGCAGGAACAAAACACCACCAGCATAGTATATAATGTTAATTTGTTAGGCTATTTCAGAATGGACTTGTTCTCTTTTGAAATGGTCTGCTTTTCATATGTTCAGTGTTTAGAAAACACCTTGTCTTAAGTTGTTGACTTTAAGAAAAAAAAAAAAACTTTTAATTATTCCATGTATGCAAGGTAACATTCTATTGTAGTTAAAATATAATGCCAGCTGGGCGCAGTGGCTGATGCTCTGGGAGGCCCAGGCAGGTGGACCGTCTGAGGTCAAGAGTTCGAGACCAGCTGGGTCAATGTGGTGAAACCCTGTTTCTACCAAAAATACAAAAATTAGCCAGGCGTGGGTGGTGGGTGCCTGTAATCCCAGCTACTCAGGAGGCTGAGGCAGAATTGTTTGAACCCAGGAGGCCAACGTTGCAGTGAGCCAAGACTGCCCCACCGCACTCCAGCCTGGGCAACAGAGTGAGACTCTGTCTTAAATAATAATAGTAATAATAATTATTATTTTTTTACCAACCAAGCAAAAAAAAAAGTCCTATATTTTTCAGCTTTTAACACGAATATCCAGAACTCCTAGACTTTTGCAAAAGTGGTGATAAAACAAAAATTGTTGGAGTAGTTTTAAAAACAAATTTCACATTCCTTCTGAACAGAAAAGCTTTTACAACTCATGTTGCAAAAAAGGTTTTTACTAAACTGTCATGATTTGACAGCATCAAATTTAACATTCCTTGCTCTATAAGAAATAGCTTTCAGGATACAACCAAGGGGAAAAAAAGGTCGTTAAAATCAGCAACTCTTGTTTAAAAGTGATAAAAATGAAATAACTCAAAAAAAAAAAAAAAAAGAAAAGTTAAAATGTGTCCAGTCCAAAGTTATGTCCTTTGCTTCTAGGAATGAACAAACTCAATGCCGGGATGTAAAAATAGAAGCATTGCAAGCTAATAGGTTCATGATGTGCAGTGCATTTTTCAGTAGGTCAACTTTCTGATCATGAGGAAGCCAAGGCGAGTTCCAAGTCTTACCACTGGCATCTTGGTAAATCCTCTTTGGCCCTGTTTGGGGACAGAGTTTCCTGGAGCAGGAGAGAAAATGAGGCTAATGGAAAAGTCTCCCCAGTACTTCTCCACTGAGGTAAACTCTCCAAAGGAGAGAGGAAGACTCCTGTATTTGCTGCCTGGTGCCCAGAAGATACTCAATAAATATGTGTGCCATGAATGAATGGCACTAAAGGACAGGAGGAGCCCTTCGTGATGGAAAGCACACAGCCAACAGCCAGCGAGTGTCTAGGACCATCCCTCAGAGCCTGACCTCATCTGGTTCATATGTCACTTCTCCCCAGAAGAATAGCAGGGAAACCACACTGTGTTTGGTCTCCTCTTTCACTGTCATAAAAGGACTGAAATCCCAAAAAACATCGACACAACCTGAGAGACGTGAGAGAGTATTTTTCTGTTTTCAGTATTTCGAATGAGATCCAGTTTAAAACACGAAAGAAGTTTTCACTGGAGAAAAATTCATTCTCGGTTTTTGGACTTACCTTGCAGATCTGGGGTCCCTCCTTTAAAGGAGCGAAGTGTGAACGTTCTCTATTCCAGATTGTCACAGCCCACTATCCATAAGATAGGACAAGTTTGTAGAGTCCTAAAATAAGACTTTATATGGCACAGCCTCAGGCCCAAAGAAACAGACCTCATTTGTCCAGTTAGGGATTATGGGGCTTGGTTTTTTGTATATATATATATATATTTTTTTTTTTTAAATCCACTTTCCCTTTCTTTCCAGCCCCCTGCGTCATAGGAATTCACCAGGTGGCTTGAGCACTGAAGAGGCAACACTAATGAGCCACGTCGCTTTCTCCTAGGATGTTTTTTCCCCCATGGTATGAACCAAGCCCTAAAAGCCACAGCTGAGTCCTTAAAACATGTTCCTGGGCATGGTCTTCATTCCAGTGAAAGAGAGATGACTGTAATTTATGCCACAAACAAAATACAATGGTTGTAATTCCACATGGAAAGAGAATCAAGGATGTCTCAGAAGCTCAGTGTCCGGCAGCAGATACAGCATCAAAACTCGGAGGCAGTGTTCTATTTCTATAGGTACATGTATTTTACAGACTGGTGATGAACAGAAAAGTACTTCTGAGAAACGATTTGTTCCAGGTCTAATTCAGATGACCGGCAGTCATTTCTGTAAGCCCCACAGGTTCAGCAATCTGTACACCAAGCAACGCTGCAGACATTTTTTTAAATTTCTTTAATTTCAGAGGGCGAAGACGAAGTAAAAAAAGTGCAGTTCTTCAATTAAAGTGCATGGATGAGGTAAACTAATTTCAAGAGTTTTGAGTTTATTCAGTACTGGCTCAGACAGGAACCATTCTGCCGTGCATCTGCTGCATTTGGGTTCGCATTGCCTGGACGCTGCTCAAAATCTTATTCTGGTGCGTGATGGCTGTGATACCAATTCTTGCCAGGTCCCTGTACATAGGGCGACAAAAGAGGGACAGAAAAAGTCATGGGGGCTGACAGTCTCTTTTCTAGGGCTTCATGCAGACACACATTTGAATCAGCCACAATTAATACAGCACGACAAGGCAGGTGTATTAAAAAGTTTCATTAAGCAATTTAATGCAACAATGTAGCTACTTTATAGAGGCTGTGTAAAATTACACTCAATCAAAACGAGAGGCATTCCAGTTTGTTTTTGCTTTTTTTTTAAATGAGTAGGATGATTATGCAGCTCAAAGCAAAAAAAAAGAAAATACTATTAAATCTAGATTTACCCTTTCGTGTTACATCGTTGAGTACTTACTCCTGGTTCACGTGCACCACAGCCTCTAGTGTGGTATAACCGGCAGCTGTGAAGTTATCCTTATACCGGTCCATTTTAATGGCCTGGAGCCAATCGCCCACTGATACCACAGCAGAGAATTCAGGGGAGCTTGGATCCAACAAGGCAGTGTTAGGTCTAGAAACAGAACAAGAAAATATAAGCAGAATGGAGCTACCAGAGAGACAAGAAGACTGAAATCTGATTGCCTCAAATTAGGCAAGGAGAACCAAAAAGCTAAGAGAAGGTTTTAAATGGAACAACTGTTGTTAAATGTAACCATGCGATATTTTGCTCTTAATTTCACAAAGCTGCTAAACCATATATCAATCATCCTATTTGTTCTTAATTCTATTTCCTGCGCTTGTTTTATGTGGCCCTCTGAGGGCATTCATGCTCATAGCAGGTCTTTTAACACCCAAGCCTGGGGTGAAGACTGGGAGAGCCCTCATGGCTGAAACCTGTTCAGTCTTTGCAGAAAGAGTCCAATCCCTGCCAGCACTGAATATTACAGACTTTCGTTCAGCAACTATGGAAACCCTAGTGAAGTATGAGTAAGGAAAACTGCGAGCTTGCAAGCTGCCAGACTGGATGGAAGCAGAGAAAACAGCAAGAATTCAAGTCCAGCATGCTTCCAGCCAGGTCTGCAGGCAGACTTGGGGCATTCAAACAAACTTGGGACAGCAGGGAGTTAATCCCCTCTTTAATCAACCCATGCCTGACCAGCACGAGTGCCAAGGCTGGCAGAAGAATGGCCACTTTGATCACTGTTTGGATTGCGGAATGTGCTTCTCGTATTCCCTTGCTGGGGTTCCTGAATAATGATTTCAACAAATTCAAAGCACTTCTTATTAACTTATTTATTAGTTTACTCATTTCTTAGGCCAGGTGTTTTCTATTAGGTCACTGTCACAAGCAATTACAGGTAGGAATTCTACCTTTCCTAATGATATTGACACATAAAAAATCATTTACTAATAAAAACTATTAAGAGAATTATAGTTAGCCATCCTCATCATCCAATTGCTTAATAATCAGAGTAGGGCTTCATGGGGGCATTTTATACTACCTTTATTATAATAACCTGTAGAAAAATACTGCTACTTGTTAAGTCATAGTTTTTGAACTTGTTTTCCCTAAAAATTACAGAATGTGTTTTATCTTAACACTTTGACCTGATTTTCAATGTGATACTATATTTAAGTACAAACATTTAAATCAGAATTATATCATTACTACTAAATTTTCAACCAAAAAACCCTTTCCTTGTAAAAACAAAATTAAGTCAATATAATGCTTTAATTTTCTACATAGCAGAATTAATCCAATTCGATTTTTTACATTTTAATTTTCATCTAAATCGACTTGATTTGTATTTTTTATATAAATATTTTAACAAAGACATGTTTTTTATCAATCAGTTTCATGTCCAAATAATACCTTGCCATTGTAATCTTTCTTTTGTGTCCATTATTTCAATATGAATTTGATTTTCTAAGTACAATTCTGTAAATGTTTATAGCAAAAAGAATCAAAATGTAATTATTCTTTCAATTTTGAGTCAATAACAAATGTTACCACATAGAATTTTGGACATTTAATTGAGTGTCACTATAAAGCAATAATATTTGTTATTAGACAAAAGCCAATAGTTTGCATTTACTTCTGACTTTAAGTCAAAAGCGTTAATGAGGAAGATGTAGGCTCTGAGCAGTGACAAGGTCAAAACGACCTTACAATGAAAATATCTTCACTCAATGTCAATAATTTTAAGGGTTGTTCTGAAGCTTGTTCTGGAAGCCTTTGTGCTCTTGGTGGCACACCATGACATTAGCCTAATTTTGTGCTGAGTCACATACCATGTTATACTACGTCTCATTATAGGTAAGCCATAATAAGCTTCAAAGCTATTTAAGTACCATCAGCGAAAAGAATTTAGAACTGATAATAGTGTATCTAATACCTCAACTTGTTTTGTACCTTGGGGCAAAGCAGATGCTATGTGGTAAGAGTGGTTGAATGACTTATGCTAACAGAAGAAGTACCAAACACCATAAAACTGGCCTTGAATGGACCCTCAGAAAAAATACATGGGCTCTGGTGCTGAAGATCTAAAAGGTGGAAGAGAAGTCAGCTGGATCTGGAAAGGAGGCCTTATAGTCATCTATTTCACCCTCTTGGAGAACAGAAGAACAAGAAATAGCCTCACAATAGTAGGAGACTTTTTTTATTTTTTAGTTCACATAGTGACCAAGTGGCAGAGGTGAAATGTTAATTCAATCCTTTTCAGTTTTCTCTGAAAAGAGCTAGACCATTGAGGATTTTGTGTAGTGGCTAATGACAGGGATTTGAAAACCTGGAGGAGAATATCGGGTATCTCTACTATCTATTCCACAGTTCTCTCTTTTTTTTTTTTTTTTTTTTTTCACGTAATGTGTACTCCTTCTCTTCTAGGATCTTTAGTCTAAGTTTTCAGGAGAAAGATGAGAGGAGAACACCACAGGGCCTGCAAAGATCGGAAGGGCTTAAATACTGTGGGAGAAAATGTCCTATTTTTAACACAGGATCATGATGAAACAGAAGCCTGTGAGGAGCCCAGATTTGGAGATGAGTGAGTGTCTCACCTCTCGCAGGCCTGAGTCACCTGGTCTATTATGCCTGTATTCTAAAATTATTTAACTGATAAAGATGGTCGACACCCTTTCAGAAGAGACTACTGATATGTAGATATCCCGAATCTTATACCAGTAAAGTCCATTCTCCATATAGAAAGTCCTCACTGAACTTGTAGGACTTACAGTATCTTTATGTTCTCTACAGACTGATATGCTTCTTCATTTTGCTCATTCCAAGAAGATAAGTACCTCTTTTAGGTGGTCCAATCATTTTGGTCTTTAAAATCATTCCCAAACATTCATCTGCATGCTTTGTAACTCAATCATTTCCTATCTTGGCCCTGTTTCCTCCTACTCTGAAAGACTCAGAAAAGGGAAACCAGAAGAACTGAAAATTAATGAATCTCTTTCTTACAATTAACACTTTATAAGTCAACTTAAAATTGCTGTGCTTAGAGACCTGTCTTCTAATCTTTATTTCTTACTATTCCAATGTTTCTGCCCCATTTCAAAATATAGCTGATCTGAAAATCTTCTAAAAGTACATTTCATCCCTCTTCCTAAATTTCAGATCTGGCATCCTAAAATAGGCACTTCAGTTATTTCTTTGCTATTATTACTTTTTAAAGCTTTTTCCTTATAACTATTTGATGCCTGACAGGTATTCAGTTATTCAAAATGCTGAACAGAACTACCTTAAATACTGTACTAATTGAGAAAGAAGCCACCCAGTTTGCAGAGAGCCGTGAACTGGCCTCTGATGAAAAGGCAGGAATTTAAGTGAGTCACCACTTGCCTGCCTCCTCTAACGTGTTCTTTCATACATCACTATTAAGTAAGCATGGCTGACCTGGAGCTCTCCGTCCCTGTCCTCTTCAAGCTGTTGGGGTTGCGGATGAGTTTGTCCAACATGTTGACAATCTGCCCAAATTTAGGCCTGTCGCTTCTCTCCTTCTGCCAGCAGTCTAGCATCAGCTGGTGGAGTGCAATGGGGCAGTCCATTGGAGGGGGTAACCGATAGCCTTCCTCAATGGCTTTAATCACCTATGGAAGACAACAGGATCGTACGTTAAGCTGCCAGGCAAAGCTGCTATTCAAGGTTCACCCTTCTGACTGGCATGTTTCTTGTGCATGAAGCTGCCAGCAAGCTGGAGCCTGGGAACAGCTCCAACTCCTTCACATGAGCCAAAGCTAGACCTGAGTATCACTGGCAACAGGAGAGGGAAGCCAGCTGTTGCTATGAAATGTACTCTAAAGGGAAGACGCATCAATCACCAATGTTCCCAAGTGGCTAGAGCCCAATCAGATCTGCAATGTGGTGTCAGTTTTGGTGATGGCCCTCAGAGATCACATGGCCCTGCCCCCTGCCTCCAGTCCCCTGCCCCACTCCATTCTGCTCTTCAACATTAGCACACCTAAACACTCTTAGCAAAAGAGACTCTGACATAGTGCTAAAGACCTCCCTTGGGAAGCAATTAATAGCTGTCTCCAAAATGGAATTTTCTTTGCATCCTTTTAAGCCCCCATCCTCTTACATAGACAGCTAGTGGGTCAACACCAGAGTCCAAGTCCAGATGCCCAGCCATTTTTTCTTTTGGATTATTTTACCCCTAGACACCAATTCTGAATTTCTTTCTTAGTCTCAGTTGGCTGTCAGTCGACCCTGTTAAAGGTGTTAGTAAGTAGATTTTTTTTAAAAAAAGTAAAAAACAATTTAAAAAATTCCTTCTTTTGGGGCATTTACATTTTGAAGGAGACCCTCTCACATCTAAGGAAGGAAGCTACAATGGTAGATGATAATTGTCTTATTGGCCAAGACCATCGAAAGTGCCCAGAGCAGTCTACTTGCCTAGTAAGTCATCAATAACTCATTCAACAGTATCTTTGCTAATTCTAATTTTTCTCATCTGTCTTCACAGGCATTAAATTATTTTCTTATAGACTTTTCCCTAACATCCTCCCCCCACTTTGGGGTATAAATTCCAATAAAGTAATAAGGTAGGACATACCAAATTTATAGAGAATTACTTCACAGCTTTTTGGCTACTCATTATCTTTGTTTATGGATATCCTCTGAGATTCTGGAGGTGCTTTTATTTGTTTGGGAGTCTAAACATTTTATTTGCTTTAAATCACTCCATTTATTTTTCTTTCTATCAACATGATAGCTGCCAGGGAAATAACCAGTGGTTGAGCCATCCCAATGACTTCATTGGACTCACCCTGTGGTGGGTCTATTGACTGCTCAGAAATTGGCCTTCGACAGAAAACAGTCTGTTGGGTCCAGTGTCTTTGGATTAGTATGACTGTGGTCTTCTTAATTAGAGCACTGTTTCAGTTTAACAAATCATCTTGTGATTTATTGAGCCCTCTGATCCTTTTTCTCCTATGTATTTTGCCAATATCATGTATCAGTATCACCTACTTTTCTTTGTAAAGCAGACTTCTCTATGCTGTCTTATTGAACCTTATTCTATTTGTTTCTAGCAATTACACTACGTCAGTTTGATCACCTGGGTTTCTTTTATCTTTCCAGGTGCATGGTGTTGACTCTAGACTTGATGAGAACATTTTGCACTGAATTGAGGAGAATGAAAGCAGTATTGGGCTGACGCCAGGGGAACATAAATTGTTATAACCCCTCAGACTGATTAATGCTCTTTCATAAGCTCCCTATCCACTGCCAGCTTGGAAGATGGCTCATAGGTTAGCAAAGCATATTTTCTCAGTTTACTGCTAAATATTTTGGGGGGCAGAGGATTAAACCAAACAAAAAACTTGCTAAGTTTGACACATTTTCAACAGTTACTTTCACTCCATTTACCATATGCCAAATTAATTCTACACATCAAAGTAATTCTCCAGATACACTTCCTATTGATTCCTGTTCTACATAGAATCCAACACAGAGACAAATAATAGATCAATATTATTTGTGAGCAAGAAATGGCTTCAGATGCCTTTTCATGGAGAAAGCCAGAGGACTGAAAGTTCAAAACAAAAGAACTGTTTTAATGTATATGTATATAGAAACTGCCAAAATTACAGATCTGAACATATTTAGGGTGGAAAAACTGACATCTTTAGATTCTCTGTTCTTACGAACATTTGGTCATGACTTCAGTAAAGAAAAATAAAGCCTAAGTATCAAATAATTACAGTAACTACATTTACTATTTGCTCATTTAGGTTTTTTGTCTTTGTCCCTCTGAGAGTCTCTAACCTGAATCCAAACGTGGCTATAAGAAGCTACTAGAAGCTGTCTGCATAACATAATCATATAAGCAATAGATTACATGCTATTCACACCTCCATAGTCTTTTTCCAGCCTGTAATTACTATGACTTAGGCTAGCTGCTTTCTTCCTGCTATGAATCTTCTGTTATAATTCACAGATAATACAATGTGAACACTACCATTCCCCTTAATCTGGCTGCTCAGCATAGAGAATTCTTTTTGCCCCACCAGACACGGAGTGCATCATTTTCTCTATTGCTCCAAACATTCTTTAATTGATAAGGCAGCCTGCATGCTATTTCTTAAGCGCACCTGGCTGTAACCGTCAAGGCTGCGCAACTTCCTGTTGTTGGAGGAAGACAAAGCAGATGGATAGGTAACATTCCACCACAAAGATAATTATTGAAAAGAAGTTTCCAAAATATAATTCAAACTGATAAACTGAATACCTTGCATTTGTAAACCCTCTCTGATAATGGCCTACCACATACATAAAAAAATTAGGCAAGTTCAAAAAGTATAGGTAGCCATTTAATTTTAATATGATTCCCAATCTTTCCAGCACTAATGTAAACTTTTCCAGGATTAGCTAAAATGTGTTCCAGGAAGACCCCTTGATCTAGGGCTTTCATTTACTTTTTTTTTTTTTCTTTCTTTCTCACTGGAGATGTTTGTAATTAAATTCTATTACTCTGGAATCTTATTAGTGTCATTATTGAATCCTTTTCTGAAATTGCAGTCATCGTGGATACTCCCTTACAAAGTAGTCCAGATGGTACATTTAAAGGGATGTGCATAATTTACCAAGGGTCATTGAGTGAAGCTTTATTTTAGAGTCCTCAAGGGGCGAGCTCTAATTACAATGATGCCAGCTTTAAAATATTCACTAGTTTTCTTTCAATAAACCTTTCATGTCCGTTTTATCATACGTGAAATTTATTTTTTCATAATCTTTGCATTTTCTTAAAATTCAGTTTCATTTGGTTTTACTTTGGTTTTGAAAGTTCACCAAGTAAAAATACCATCCCATATTTTTTATCCATGCATCTATGTGTGTATCTATCTCCCATACTGTACCATGTAGGCCATTTAATTCTTGTCCTTGAAATCAATAGTCATTGGTTATAATGTTGAACTAGCTTGCTAGATATATCTGTATTAAGAAATTTGAGTTTAATGTATCATTTCAAACCCCGTGCTCACTCCATCACACAGTAATGCAGAACTTCCTGAATCTCAATGTGAAAAAATATATTTCAGAACATAGAGACTTACATCTTGATTGGACATATCCCAGTAGGGCCTCTCCCCGTACGACATCACTTCCCACATAACGATTCCATAGCTCCATACATCACTTGCTGATGTGAATTTACGATAGGCAATTGCTTCTGGCGCAGTCCACCGGATAGGAATCTTGCCACCCTGTGAACATTTGAGCCATAAGTTATTCCTTAAGTACATCACTGATGTGCCATTTTAGATTCTGAATGTAGTTCCTGCTAGCCAAGCAGGACAACAGCATTCTTGAGATAGCTCTCAAAACAAAAGACACTTGTTCATTTTAACACAAGTCTTCCAGGTTAAGACAGTTCTCCTATGTTTTCTTTACTCACCGGGAAGTGACTAAGTAATCTAATTATGTTTTTAAAATCTACCTATTATCTGAGCTCTGCTTAAGGCAATATTCTAGAAAAAAAGAAATCTCAGGTTTTACAAAATACATGTTATCCACGGGGTATCAATGATATGTAGCTGACATCTGTTTGATTTTTTTGTTGGATTCTTTCACCCGGGAGCACAAAGGAAGGCAATGCTTAATACTGCTTCAAAAATCATGAATGAAGGAATTTAAATATGAACATTTCTATCCAACACAAGTCCACCTCCCCTTATACAGCATGAGAAATATGCCCAATAGCTAGGGGATGATATGATAAATAGGTCTTTAGAGAAAGCCAAATAATACCAGACACTAGAGCTATTACTGACTTTAATGGAGTAAGGACAGGATTTTAGTTGTTATTAAATTAAAAAAAAAAAAAAGACTTGTAAAATGGTAAAGCAAGCGAATATTACCCAGGAAAAGTTTCAAAATGCACTTTTTTTTTTTTTTTTGCCTCAAATGTCTTGTTTGTTTATGCTTATGTTTAAGGTATTTTCAGTCAGGTTTTCAATGTCCTAGGGTTCCACCTGGGGAAATTAATTCAAGTCTAATTCAGACCCTTGAGGTATCCCCAGGGCCATCATTTAAAAGTTTTCTTTGCTTTATTAGGTAGGGCTAGGAAACAGGACAATAAATTGTACTGGAAATTGCTTTGATACATTGCAGTGAACTCTGAACACCCAGTGTATTGCATTCATCCTTGTTACACACAGGACACTTGTACTGCATTCCCCCCCTGCTTAAATATTTGTCTAAGGTTTTATCTATGTAAATGTATCATTCTAGAAGCCTCCTTTAACTTTTCTTTCTCCAACTACTGGGAAAAAATAAAAGATCTTCAACATTCACAAAGATGTATTCTTTTCTAAATGAATGGACTTGGAATTCAAAAGAGGACAAGCATAAGAATCAGAATTGGAGCCAAAGAAATAGAATACTATACCCCCTGATCCCCCCGACAAAATAAAAGGCTCAGCCAGCCAACCAACCAAACAACAACAAAAAACCCCCATTGCTTGGGACTGCAGATGCAAAAATGAGGAGTGCTAAAAGGGGAAAATGGCTGGTAACTGTCAGCTTCGTGTTGATTTTAACAGTGTCAGTGTTAATGGCCAATAACTGTTTTATGATTCTGTGTTTATTCCATTAGTATTTTATATTCAGATAGTGGAGCTAAGATAGCACAGCCATTAACTGTGTACTTAAAACTCGTAACTGTGTCTTAATCCCCGCTTATCTAGCAGTGGTAAAATGAAGGCCATTAGATACTAGAAAACCTTGCATGGTATAAATGTTTTATAAATCCTGTATATACATTCTGAGATTTGGTAGCCAACCAACTAGAAGCATTGCTTTGTCTCATTTAGAATAAGGATTTTTTTAAAGAATAGAAAAAAGGCAAATACAAAATCTAAAACAAAAACAAAAACAACAAAAAGGAAGAAAGATTAGGAAGACAGCAGGCAAGTACAAGTGCAAAAAAATAAATAAGCAAAGCTACCTCCTGATTTTCTCAGTAATTGATCATTTGTTGTATAAACTGATCCTTAATGCTTGCTTCTCAGTTAGCTCATTTTTATTTAAGACACCGCCTTATTGTTCATTAACACTTTCTCCCCACTGCCCCCCCAAAAAAACACAGATGGAAAGATAATTCATTTTGCTTCTAGTTTGTGGCTGTTAATATTGTCATCATCTAGGGTCAGCTTCAAAATCCCTCTTTTCTTGGAAACATGGTTTAAAAATGGACACAGGAATACGAGGAGGCTTCGAGGCATGAGAAAACTTAAGAAATAAAAGAATTACAAAGGGCTTCAATCTCAAAGTGAGAAGAGAGGAACAGTTTCACCAGAGTGAAAGCCCAGATGTCACCAATCTTTCTTACCCTGGTAGTGTAAGCTGCTTCCGGATCATCCTCAAGCACTCGGGACATGCCAAAATCAGACACTTTGCAGACCAAGTTGCTGTTCACCAGGATGTTCCGTGCGGCCAGATCACGATGCACATAGCTCATATCAGATAAATACTTCATCCCAGACCCAATGCCACGAAGCATGCCCACCAGCTGAATGACTGTAAATCTGCCATCATTTTTCTGCAGAGAAAAGGAGTGAGGAACAATCCCATTACCATTAGGCCAAATTAATTCTCACCAAGCATTTATTACTTGGATCTTTTTGGATATCTGTATCCGGTATGCAGTGAAACTCAACATGATTTCCAGGCCCTTCTGACCAAAGTCACTAATTCAGTAGCAGACTGGACCCTAGGAGCTGGGTTTGCTTCCTGTGACAGATGGAAATTATCCAACTGTAATGAATCTATGGCTCAAACAGCTCCACATTACAGGAATAAATCAAAAACTACCCTTGTTGAACACGGATTATTTAATAGCCTTAAAAATCACATCATTCTCGATTTCTCCTCTTCTTTCTTTGCCCCATTTTAAAAAAATCCACGAATACCACCGAACAGAACGAATACAAGGACTCTGTTAGGAGTCTTCCAAATACCAACATTCTTAGGTTTAATATAAAGTAGTCACATACCCTGAGGAATGCATCCAAGGAGCCATTCTCCATGTACTCTGTTATGATCATTACTGGTTTACCTAGAGTTTTCAGAAAGAAAAACACAAACCTTTGATGAGCACTGCAGTTAATGAGATAAAAATGGGCTGTGCACAATTTTACTGCCAAGACACCTGTCTTGTGTGATCTAATTTAATTAAAATAAGCCAAGCTTATGCCTCAGCTGTGGGGAGCTAGGAATGAAATATTAAAAGGACGAGTAGGTTTAAATTCCATCTGGATAGTTAACCCTTTGGGTGGCTTGTTGACAAGGTCTTTAACTAAAGTGGCCTCTCGTATCCAGGGAGCAACATGAATGGATAATTGCTCTCTCAAGCAAAAGGGGAAAATGATAAATGGGAGGGCCTGTTTCAATGCCAAAATAATCTTTAGGATAATTAATTTATTTTGTCCCCAGAAGAGCCACTTGTAAGAAGCTAAGGACATCAATAGGCAGATCAACTTCTTTTCTTTATTTAGAGAAATCCGTGTTTCAGGGAGCAGTGGCTATGTTGAATCCTTCCTTATCCAGACACATCTTAAAACCAGGCATGCAGCCGGGTTCGGTAGCTCACGCCTGTAATCCCAGCACTTTGGGAGGCCAAGGCTGGAGGATCGTCTGAGGTCAGGAGTTTGAGACCAGCCTGGCCAACATGGTGAAACCCCGTTTCTACTAAAAATACAAAAAAAAAAAAAAAAAATAGCTGGGCGTGGTGGCAGGAGACTGTAATGCCACTACTCAGGAGGCTGAGGCAGGAGAATTGCTTGAACCTGGGAGGCGGAGGTTGCAGTGAGCCAAGATGGCGTCAATACACTCCAGCCCGCAACGATACCAAGACTCTGTCTCAAACAACAACAACAACAACAACAACAACAACAAACAAACAAGCATGCAACTTCTCTCCACTGTCTTGCTCAGCTCAGGGGCTCTGTCCTTTCTCTTCACTGTCCCTAGCTATGAATAAACTTGCTTTGGTCTGATTCTTTAAACTGCCTACCTCAAAAAACAAACAAACAAAAAAACCCAGAACAGTCAAAGGAAAGGTTCAGTAAATTATTTCATCTGAGACAGGAATTTAAATTCAGTACTAGAACATCCTGGTTCCCCCCATTCCGCAAAGAAATAAAAATGATTTTAAGCTCTGAGCAGAATGAGGTGGAAACAAGATTTTCACTGAACTCCTCTTTCTGAGGACTTTAGGACATAAGAATCATTCTTTACTTTCCTGCACAGGCAATGAGCTCAAGGTCTGAAATTCCTTCTTTCTAAAGGGTATTATTGCGGAGTGGAGGGTGGGAATCATGAATTTTTTTTTTTCCCAAGAGAAGGATAAAACAGGTCCCTAAAATATTCCTTTGGGAGAAAATGAAATGTCAGTTTGATACACCAAAACATATTATTTTATTTTATTTTATTTAGACTTCAGTCTACAAAAATGGGCTAAAATATTTCACCGCTGAAAAGCACCCATGATTATTCTAACGAAATACATTTTCCACCCAGTGATTCCATCAGCTTATAATTTCTGGCATATAGAGAATGGGGAAATTTTTCACTTTAGGGGCAAAAGTGTTGAAGAGTGCGTTTTTAATTCCATGAAGTCCAATATATCAATTTGTGATATTTCTTGATTCCTTGAGTTTTTGATGTTGTGTCTAAGAAATCACTCAGAGGCAAACACTTTTGTATTAGAAAACAGTACCATGGACATGTTATTTTCAAGTGAGGAAAGAAGGCTGGTAGAAAAAGTGGGAATCTTGGTGCAGACCAAAGGTGAATAAAATCACTTTTAAGTCTTTTCTCTTTGCCGGCAGGGGTGTGCTTGCCGATCCTCTATCAATATAAATAGGAAATGCTTAGTTCTCAGATTCATTTACCCTCTACATGTGTGACCACGGTTTTCTACTTAAAAAAAAAAAAAAAAGAAAGAAATTTTTTTTTTTTTTTTTTTTTAAGAGACAGAGTCTGGCTCTGTGGCCCAAGCTAGAGTGCAGTGACAGGATCATAGCTCACTGCAGCCTTGAACTCCTGGGCTCAAGGGCTCCTCCTGCCACAGCCTCTTGAGTAGCTGGGATTCCAGGCGCTAGTCACCGAGTTCAGCTTGTGACCATAGTCTTCTGACAGAACAAATGTGCCTAAATGAGTTTTAATCAACCTGCCTCAATCAAAAGATACTTTGTCAACTAATGAGAAAGGGCAGCCTCTCATGGCTGTGCATTAACACCTCCTTGCATTTCACCAGATCCCTCTGGAGCTGTGGAGACTACAGGAGAGGATCCAAAAGCAAGGGTCATGCGGCGAATTTATGGTCCTCCTGCCAATTTCAAAAGTTACTCAAGTAACTGCTGGTAATGAATTCACACGCTTCCACTCTACCCTTTCACCCTCACACCTCCCTAGTCGGACTCTTGGCACCATCTTCACAATTTTTCTGCATTCCTTTTTCTGTTTATTAAAAGTATCCATTTGTCAGAACCTTTATGAGCTCTACAAGAGAAATAAAGACGAATGTCTCCATAAGCAGAGGGGCTTATAAAATAGGCCTGGGCTGGGCTCTTGGATAGAGGAGTCTCCTTCCCTCCACTAGGCAGGGATGCAGTGGGGAGGAGAGGGGTGGGGGAAGGGAATAGCTTCTCCAGTAGAAATTTTAAATCATTTTAATTCAGTGACAACTGCATTATGCAAATGCATCCAGTCGTTTATAACAGTTACAGCTGTAATAGCTACGCGTTTTAGAGGCGCGGTGGGACTTTAATACAAAGATCCCCTGTTTCTTCTCTCTTCTGCGGAGGTGCTAGGAAAATCACTGTCTGCGACAGGAAAAACACCCTAAGCTGAACAGAGCCTCCTTTTTAGAAAATGGACCTGCAAAAGTATTTAAAGGGAATGTTATCTTTTAATTAAAGTAGTGAAGGACTCTGGGCGGCCCTGAAGGCCACAGGCAACAGAAAAATATCCTGTCTGTAAAACTAATCTCAAAAAGCAAATAGAGCTATTCTATGCTAATTATAGCCTTCACCTCAGGCAGAAAATTATATATCCTTCGCATCAAGGTTCCTTTTTGTTTTTTTTTTTTGTTTGGTTTTTTTTTGAAAGATTCTGAAGATGGGGAAAGATGTACCTACTTCTTAAGATATAATAGCACCATTGAACACATATGAGGTTTTTTTCTGAAAAAATTTGCTATTGTGCTAACCACCCAAAATACTCTATTTCATCCCAAAAATAACCTTATAAGGCAAATGCTCTTTTTACCTCCATTTTACAGATGAGAAAACTGAAACAGAAAGATTGAACAAGCAGTCCAAGGTCACAAGCTGTAGTAGCAGCAGAGCTGGTATGCGGTCGTTTGTCCCCAGTCCAGTGGTTCTCAAAGTGCGATTCCCATACTAGCAGCACTGGCTTCACCTGTGGTGAGCTCTCTAGCCCTCCAAACTTACGGGCTGCACACCACCTGCTGAATCAAACCTCTGAGGAAGAGGCCCAAGAAACTGTCCTAACAAGCTTTCCAGAAGATTCTCATTTATGTTTGAGGACCTCTGAACTGAATAGTGTATACTTTCTCTCCCATTTTAGTTAACCACCTCATTTCTTCTTTCTAAGGATTTTGTACTTTGTGTCCCACTAGCCACCTGCCCCAGGCCTAATGTTTCATTTTTTCTTTTCTTTTTCCTTTTCTTTCTTTCTTTCTTTTTTTAAGTAGAGACAGGTTTCTATTAAAAAATAGGTTCAGGTGCCTCTGTCACCTGGACTGGGGTGCAATGGCACTATCATAGCTCACTAGGAATTATATGGACAGGAGGCAGGGAAATACTGGGTAGAAAACGGTGGTTGCTTGCAAAGGCCCCACCTTCAACCCTGCAAACCATGGGCGTTCGGTTGGCACAGCTAAACTCCAGGGGAAGATTATCTTCCTATTCCTATCCCTATTCCTTCCCCTTTCCAGCTCCCCATTCTGCTGAGAGCCACCTCCATCACCCAATAAAGCTTACACATTCACCATCCTTCAAGTCCATGTGACCTGATTCTTCCTGGACGCCAGACAGGAACCCAGGTACCAAGAGGGGAGGGTGAAAAAGGCTGTCACCTAGACTCTCCAGTAAGCTGGTTAACACTTAGCCATTTGCAGGCGGCAACTGCTAAAAGAGCATTGTTTGTAACATACACCTTCTGGGGCACCAGAGATCACTGGTGACCACTCACCTGGGCTCCTGCAGGTGCTAATCTGTGTGCTCCCCCTCCCACAAAAAGTTTGAGCTCGGTGGCCAAGCAAAACAAGCCACACCCCATTGCAAGTCCCACGAGGAGTTCAGGAAACTTACCCATCTCAACTGTAGCCTTGAACTCCTGGGCTCAAGTGATCCTCCTGCCTCGGTCTCCTAAGTAACTAGGACTACAGGTGTGAGAGATTGTTTTTCTCTTTAACCTACCCTCCTCGAACCGCTTCACCCCACTGGGGTGGCTATATTGCCATTACTCTGCACACGCTGAGTGAAGATGCTTTCCACAGATACCTTGAATCAAAGAAGAAAAGCCTTGGAGACATAGCCCCAGGCTTACCAGATCCTTGACTTGTAGGGTATATGAGGGCTCCTGGAACAGAGCCACCTTAAACAGGGACTGCCTCAGCTGTACTGTCTATGTGGCACTTTATAAGTTGGTCTTAGCCAGCCTTACAGACATATTCAGGGTTTGCTTCACAAAATGCATCTGTTGAGCTGTGTCGCATTTTAACTGAAGCGTGGTTCACAGGCTCAGTGAATGCTAATGGACTAAAAAAGGAAAGTTCAACCAGGTGTTACTGTAAATAGGTGCTGAACTGCAACAGCCATAAATCAGGCAGAGCAGACAAGCAAATCCCCCAATATATTAAAGATTCCCAAGCTTCACCCTCTGCATCTGGAACCAAAGATTCCAGCACAAGGTGTGGCCAGGTTTTGTTGTGCTTTATAGGAAAAGTCCTTAAATTTTATTTTGCTTACCATCTGCTTGTGCCTATCCTATGACAATCAGTTTGGCCTAGCAAACATCTGAAAGATGGCATGGCATACCAAAAATCTGCTATGTTAATTTCTCTCAAATCTCACACAAGCTGCCTTGGAGATTGGGTATCAGCCGAAACCATAGACCCATTTAGAGCTGACTACAAGATTAATGACTTGTCCTGCACTGATTTCCTCCTATTAGCAATCAGTGGGTCTGCGCCATCTGTCATTTCCCTGGAAAGAAAATGTGTGTTTAATTTCCCAGTAACTTCTAACTTGGCTTTGTAAAGGGGGTGACCCACGTACATTTAGTGACCACGCCTTCCAAGTGAATGATGTTCGGATGGTCAAACTGTCCCATGATGCTGGCCTCGCTCAGGAAGTCTCTCCTCTGTTTGTCTGTATAACCAGCTTTCAGCGTCTTGATAGCCACACAGATCTCTCTCTTGCCAGGCACTTTGAGACGCCCGCTGCATACCTCACCAAATTCACCTTTGGGAGAGAAAAAGAATCTATGATGGACCAGAAACACATTCAAGATGAAAGAATAATAGCTAACATTCCTTGAGTGCTTGTTACATGCCAGGCCCTGTGCTAGTGCTTTGCATAGATTATTTCACAAAATCCTCCATGCAACCCTGAAGTAGATGCTACTAGCCCCATTTTATTAGAGAAAACTAAGCCTTAATGAAAAAACACTACACAAAATCTTAGTTAGTAAGAAATAGAGTAAACCTTTTGAATGCAATCAATCTGATTTCAGATCGCATTAAGTTTCTCTCTAAGAATAGAATCAAAATTTGTACTAGAGTTCTTTATAACACGATATTTTATACTCAAGAAAAGGAAATTTCATGTATATACACACATAATATACTCACAAATACATTTACATAATCCACACACATATTTAACATCCACCAAGAAAACAGACTCATTAGCAGACAGACACTCAGACACTTACCAACTCCTATAACTTTTTCAATCTTAATGCAGGATGCGTCAATTTCTTTGGCAAATTCTCGAACTGCTTGGTTGGGATCTTCGTACGTAAAGGGGTCCACATATGTTCTCACACCTAAGTAATAAACATGATAAGTTGGCTGAATGTTTCTCAGGAACCACTAAAAAACATAAGTAGTTTAGGTCTAAAATTACAAAACATAGGAAAAGTCAAGTTAGCTGTACGGTCTTGACATACGAAAATGGTTAAACTCTTGCTCTGGTTTTCATTAGTGGGTAAACAAAATATTGTTAGCTACTTAAGAGGCTGCAGCTTTACTGACTTCCTGGAATGTCTTCACACTTCAAGGACAAGATTTTTAAAACCACCCATCCAATGGAGGAAATTTGGATTGTGTTAGTTGAATACTATTGTCCAAAGCAGTTGCTCATAGCTCCCTTGCGTTTGCATGAAGTCCTGCCCACTGCTTTCAGTTATCCTCCCTTAGGGAAGAAAATAGAAGCTTTTTAATTTCAACCAGCTCTTTCCACATGGTGTCACATTTTGCCCAATATCTGGATGAATTAAATATGTGACCGACAATTAACAAAATTAGATTAAATCTAAGTTAAAGTAGACAATAAGGTTAACATCAGCTAGTTGATTTGAGAATACAGACTCTGTAGTGGACCTCCACTTCTTTTCTGTTTTGGAAAGACGGTGTCATAAGCAAAGATATTCAACTTTGCCAGAAAGCTTCAGCTAGAGATAACCATTGTAGCCTAACTGTGAATGGTCTGGACATCAGGAAGTACGATTCAGTCATATCTCATACTACTCATAAACTAAATTTAGATGTGTTTGGAGGCAGCCCAGTGACAGATATCTGGGCCAAGAGGCAGAAGTCATTGTAAAAAGCTTTGTCCTGGCATTTGCTCCTCTCCCTCCTGGAGCTGCTGGGACACTAGGACACAGAGGCTATGCAGGACACCAGTTGGCCCAGTCCCTTTGACTTTCCAAGCCTGTAGGTCTTGGCCTCATCCCAGCACCCTTGGTTAGGAATAAGGTCCTTAAACTGGCAATTTCTTGCTACTTCTTTTTAATAGATCAGCTTTTAAAAAAAAAACATATATCCCACGTAAAAACTGAAAAAATATGATTTTAGGAGGAAACGAGGTGAACAAATGGAAAGTTGTTAGACACTCCATATCCCTCATCACTTTATATGCTATAGCCAAGAAAATCTTCAAGATGAGTCTTGTTATTCCCAGTCCCTCTCCTTCTTCTATTTTTTTTTTGGAGACAGAGTCTAGCTGTGTCACTCAGGCTGGAGTGCAGTGGTAGGATCTTGGCTCACTGCAACCTCCGCCTCCTGGATTCAAGCAATTCTCATGCCTCAGCCTCCTGAGTATCTGGGATTATAGGCGTGCATCATCATGCCTGACTAATTTAGGTATTTTTTGTAGAGACCGAGTTTTGCCATGTTGGCCAGGCTAGTCTTGAACGCCTGATCTCAAGTGATCTGCCTGTCTTGGCCTACCAAAGTGCTGGGATTACAGACATGAGCCACTGTGCCCGGTCAATCTTTCTTCTATCTTTCTGCACTAATATGTGAGAGACTTGTTACTTGTCGTTATCTAAATATAAATAAATTAAATTTAAAAGATCCCTTTCTCAGTCATATTAGCTACATTTCAAGTATTCAACAGCATGTGTGGCTATTGGCTTACATATTAGACAGTGCAGATATAGAACAATGTTATTTTAGAAAGTTCTAGTGGACAGCTCTCCTGGATAGTCACCAACCACTGTCCATTTAAAAGTCTTCTACCAGCTGGGCACCGTGGCTCACGCCTGTAATCCCAGCGCTTTGGGAGGCTGAGGTGGGCAGATCACGAGGTCAGCTGAGGTGAGGCTGACATGGTGAAACCCTGTCTCTACTAAAAATACAAAAATAGCAGCCGGGCGTGGTGGCGGGCACCTGTAGTCCCAGCTACTCAGGAGGCTGAGGCAGGAGAATGGCGTGAACCTGGGAGGCAGAGCTTGCAGTGAGCCAAGATCGCGACACTGCACTCCAGCCTGTGCGACAAAGGGAGACTCCGTCTCAAAAAAAAAAAAAAAAAAGTCTTCTACCTTGCTTAAGTCACTCTAGAGCCACTTCTTTGAATGTCTTCTTTGACCTCTTTGGAATATCAAAATTAAAATCCACTAAAAATTTATTGATAGTCACTAATTCTATATCACATATAGCCATTCCCTGGGAAGTAGCAATTACTATTACATTTCTTATTCTTTTCCTCATCCTCAAATTTCCAGCTTATATGAAAAAATTACCCATTTTAATTTTGCCACCCAGCTACAAGAATGAGCCAGCTAGACTGGTAACTTTCTCAGAGTAGAGGATAAAATACGGAAAAGTAAAAATCTAAAGAAACATCTCTACCTCATCCCACATCTTTAATCTTACCATCCAAATCGCCCATTTCAGTTTGATACTCAGGAAGTACATTATTGGGATAAGGAATATATTATATAACATTAATAGTCACGTAAATATTATTTGGACATGTTTAAACTAGAAAATGTGAGACATGCTCTAAAAATAAAATTTTTTAATCCAATTTTTTTGTACCTTGATTCAAATGTTTCTCTTCATCCGCTTCTTGTTTGGCTTTACTGTATTTACTCCGTCTATTAAAATTTTTTAAAAAAGAGAATTATTTTCCTCAAACACCTAAGCTTTAACACATGCCATAAGACAAATTTGTTGCTACTGTAAGTCAGGCAGGTATGCTATGTACATTTCAGAGATGAGAAAACTGAGACTTACAAGAGATGAAATACTTGTCACCCGGGTAGTAAGTCATGGTTTTAAGCTCAAGCAGTCAGAAACACCTCTGAACCACAGTTTTCAACTGAGGTGTCTTACAATAGCTTAAAGCAAATGTTTTATAATATAATTATAATTCAAAATCTCTCAGAGAAAATTTATCTTACTGAAGATAAGTTTATTGGCTATTTTTCCATTTACATAAATGCACATGTGTGTATATATATGTACGTGTGTGTATATATATGTGTGTATGTATATATATATTTTAAATTTCCATGGGTAGTTCTGCGTAAATCAAATGGCAATAATGTTCAGTATGTGATGGGTATTAGTAAATATTATTGCTATAACCAGATAACTACTACCACAAAAATTCATTATCATATCACGTGATGCTCTTGAAACAACACTTTTGCGGTTATTGGTTTCAGTTGCTGCATACAAATTCCCAACTTATTAATGAAAAGTTTAAAAGTAAGTATTTGCTTTGTACTGAATTATGTTCCCTAATTTGTAAAAAATGAGCAAGGGTAAAAATGAGAAGCTTTGTTTTGCTTTGCCTGATTCACTTTCAGTAAAATGGTGCATTATCTTAAACTTGGCATTCTGCTCCTACAACTTTTAATAGTGTAAATCTGGCTTTGTTATAAAGCTTTGTGGATTGGAAATCTTTAGTACACATAAATCTTCAATCAGGAATGTATATATCTCTCTTATACAAACTGGAAAATCAACTCAAGCCTTGGAAACCAAAAATATATATACATTGTGAATCAGGAGAATATATATCACTTAAAGGAATCAGAAAATCAACTCAGTTGATATTACAGCTGTCTAAAACTTGGGGAGTTGAGACCAAATTAGTAAATAAAATGTATACATTTATGTTTCTGTCAGAAATGTAAAATTTACACTGGAATTTATATCTTAGGTTTTCTTAGAGCTTCAAACACAAGGTAAGGCAAGACTCTTACAGAAAAAGAAACAGTGTCTGAGATGAGGAAAAACTCCCCCAAGGCCACGTGGTCTTGGCAGTGTGATCCTGTCAAAATCCTATACCCCAAACTCTTAAACTTTGAATAGGTAGAAAGGCAGATGATTATGACAAAGAGAGAACAACAGAGAACCTAAAGGAGCCAGGCAGTGCAACCAGAGAGGCAGCGGATCCTGGTCACATGCTCCAAGCTTCCCTCCCATATTCCTCTCCTAATTGTCAGCAGCCCAGGAACCAGCTCAGCAATCAGACCCTCAGAGCCTACAGATGTTTCTCTGTGTGGATAATTCCCTGGCAAATAATAATACCTTGCATTTTTACACTGCATTTAACTTTTCAAAAGTGCTTTCATCTCATGTATTATCTCCTCCCCTAACTGTTTGCAAAGCAGGAACCAACTTACCAAAACAGAGACTCCAGTGACGACAGCTAACTGTGAAGTACGGTATTTCAGTCCCAAATCATAAGCTTGCATTTTCCTTTGCATTTAACTTTTCAAAGGGTCTATTGTTTTTATTTATTTATTTTTTATTTTTTGAGACGGAGTGTCACTCTGTTGCTCAGGCTGAAGTACAGTGGCATGATCTCAGCTCACTGCAAGCTCCACCTCTAGGGCTCAAGCGCTTCTCCTGCCTCAGCCTCCTGAGTAGCTGGGATTATAGGCACCCGCCACCACACTCGGCTAATTTTGTATTTTTAGTAGAGACGGGGTTTCACCACGTTGGCCAAGCTCGTCTCAAACTCTTGACCTCAAGTGATCTGCTCACAGAGGCCTCCCAAAGTGCTGGGATTATAGTCATGAACCACCGCACCCAGCCAGAGTCTATTATTTAATTGCATCTTCATGACAACCCTATGAAAGCAACCAGGCAGACAGACACACGCTCAGTTTCCCTGTGGATGAGGATATGGAGCTGGGTGGGGTAGGGGGTGGGGAGCAAGAGGATCACCACGTGTTCTCCCAGCAAGTACAGGACTTTGTGGAAACCCTGATCCAGCCCACGACTTCACAGGGCCTCTCTTACTGGAAACTAGTTACGTAAGGATACCTAGTGAGAGTTAATTATAAGTAGTGTTACGTTTTATATCAGTACATTCACTTAAAATGAATTCAACTGCTCTTAAAATCCATTGCTTCATCGAAGTAACTAAACAGGTTTAAATACCCTGAAGCCAAACAACTTTCTATAAAAGATGAAGTCTCCTCCAATCTTCTTCCCCTCCCTCCACCCCCGTCCTTTCCCTTCTTTTAAAGGAAATATAAGAGTGTGAGGTCAGGGACTACTAAAATAACATTTTATGTCGGGAAAATGCCATAGATTGGTCCCAAGGGTGTGATAGGGTCTTGCCAGCCTGAAGGATTTTGTCTTATCAGAGCTCCTAAAAGCATTATCTAAAATTACAAGTATATCTTTTAAACCACTTAAGATTTCGAATACTGATTTGAATTTCTTTCCTTTGAAGAAGGAAAAAAAAATGCTCAGAATGAGAAAGCTTTGGTACCAACTTAAAATTGTTAATGAAACAAAAGCCTGGCATATACCATAGAAAACCATGGCCTGAAGCTGCCCGGGAAAGTGTTTATCTGTCTTACATCAAGCACATTCATTAAGTATGTGCAAAGCCAGAGGCAACACAAAATGACAGGGGTCATTAATTATAAGGTTGACACACCCATCCCTTCCTCAGACTTCTAAACATAGAAGAAGGAATTAAATTAGTGGTGAAGGTGTGTTTTTAACCGAGAATTTTTTACGTGGAGTGTTATTTGGAGGAGAGGAACCTTAAGACTGCAGGAAATGGCTGGAAAAAAAAAAAAACAAGGATTACTGTTCAAAGGCTAACAGTAGTCTGTTTGCTTTTTAAAAATATCTGGAAAACGAAAATGCCTGTGTCCTGTTCTACCTTTAACACCTGATGGCCCTTTTGCCTTGGCTCAGAGTAGGACAATGTGGCCCATTATCATCCCATGAAAGGAAGCCCCTTGAAGTTCCCCATTGGGGCGGCCAGCCTGCAGGAAGCCACACTGCCTGAAGTCCTAACTCGAAACTGACATCAGAGGCTGATCACCTGAATGGCAGCAGGAAAACTTTGTTGAAGGTTTTCTAATTATAGAGACGTGGACAAGCTGATTAAAATTGGGAAGGAGTGGAGTGTTTTATTAGCAAATGCTCCAGAAGGAAACATGGACCCTTTCAGCCACAGGAGTTGGAGAAAAGGACGCACGCTGCAGGTGAAACTTTGAAAGAGTGTGAACTAAGCCCTCCTGCAGTCCAAGGGACACGGTAATAAGGGTATTAACAGACATTGTTGCAGAACAGCGTGAGTCCTCTCAACCAACGTGCTGTTCCTGGCACCTTAAGTATCCAATAAAGCAAACAAAATAGAGAGGGGGAGCAAGGCAGGGGCCCAGCATAAACCGTGCTTTTACTAAATTACTAACTTTTCTGGTCAAGTGGACAGATTTGACTGATGTGGTTCACTGTTCCAAAACTAATTAGCAAAAGGTAAGTAATGTATTCAGCTAAAGTGCATATTAAAGATAAAGCAATGTAACTAGCATGGCTCCAGGAGGTCCCTTTCCAGCACGGAACAGCATCACCCATGAAGATTCACAGAAGCCATTCTTCTTTTTCCCCTTCTTTAAGCTGTCATTGTTCTTGCACCAAATGATGTCTAAATGCTGTTCACGAGGAGCATGTTGAAATGGTTGCACACAAGTTGTTTAGAAATGATCCCAAGGTATCATCTACCCCCAGTTGTGTGCATTTACATGACTTCCTCAGAGCTGAATTAGGCCAACACTTAAGTGTTTTCATTTTCACATGATCATAATACTCCAGGGAAGGAAATTAGGGCCCAGGCGTACCACCTGAGGTCAGGGGTTCGCAACCAGCCTGGCCAACATGGTGAAACCCCATCTCTACTAAAAATATAAAAATTAGCCAGGTGTGATAGCACAGGCTGAACGATAACTCTTTTAGCATTACTTGAACTCTTAGCTCCGAAGTGGAAAACCTTAACCTTCAATAGGAGGAGAAAATTAACTTGTAAACTCTGACTTTATATTGTGTAATAGACTTGCACATTAATTCACAGATTACAAATCTTACCAACATCACTAGCAGACTCTTGAAGCTTTGGTTCCATAGAAGTGTCAATGTCAGTGTTTTTATGTAGGTCAACTTTGTCAGTCAAGAAGACATTAAAATAATATATCTATCCCAGTATTGGAAGTTACGAGAGCTGAATTCCTGTCCTGATCAGCAACTAACTCGCCATGTGACCTTCGCTTATTTGTTTAGTCTCTTTAGGCCTCCAGTACCTAATACATAAATAAATGTTGTCATAACCACTTCAGTTTTTTCTTAAAATCAATTCACTTCTTTTTCCTTATCCAGGTAAAGCGGGTACTTTATAACCCTAACATAAACGGAAACCCAGTGTCACTAGCAATCATTAGAAGGTTAGCATAAAAACAGCATGTGTCTGGTTATCAGTAAGACTTTCCCTCACTACCAAGTTGCCCTTTAAGAAATAGGGGCTGTTCTTGTATTCTAGTCCTTTCTTAAAATTGTTTTTTCGCATCTGAATAATAAAATACTGCTTTGGGGCCAGGTGTGGTGGCTCACGCCTGTAATCCCAGCACTTTGGGAGGCCGAGGTGGGCAGATCATCTGAGGTCAGGGGTTCGAGACCAGCCTGGCCAACATGGTGAAACCCCGTCTCTACTACAAATACAAAAATTAGCTGGGTGTGGTAGTACATGCCTGTAATCCCAGCTACTCGTGAGGCTGAGGCATGAGAATCACTTGAACCCATGAGGCAGAGGTCGCAGTGAGCTGAGATTGCACTATTGCACGCCAGCCTGGGTAACAGAGTGAGACTGTCTCAATAAATAAATAAATACTGTAATACTGTTTTGGAAAAAACACTACCCTAAAACAATCTGAATTAATACTAGTTTGTGATGCTTTTGAAGATAACTTGATGAAATCATTACTATAAAAGGGAAGAGGGTATCAGAGAAATTTAACATAGATTCAGTCATTAGTCCTGGAGGTTACAACCTTATATTTGTATTTTAGGATGTCATTGTTAACAGTCCTTTTAAAGATCACTTTAAAAAAACAATATAGAAAAGTGGTTATGTTGTGGAGATCACAAATATATAAATATATAAATGTGAAAATGGTGACTTGCTGCTAGAGAATGTACAAATAGAGATTTGTTTGTGGTTTGAAATAAAATTTATAGGGACAGCATCACATAGGTACAAGAAGGGTTGTGTCTTAAAATAACCTAGATAACAAGTACAATTATGTGCTCTGGAAAGCTGAAAGAATTCTGAAATTATATCTTGAGTGATGAGAAAGACACAGATCAAAAAGATGCCTACAGAAAATATAAAATTAAGTTGCTTAACATAAATGTGGGTGGTAAAAATATACAATATAGCTAAATCAATGTGCTTAGTATAACATCTCATTTTAGGTATTTTATAAATTTAGTAGTTTGATTCTTTCACCGCAATCCCTAAATGCTTACATGTTCCAGTTGGCCAAAAGAAAAAAGTAGATCTCACTGAAAAAAGCGTAGATTATTCTGGCTTGCCTTAGGCTCAGGCTTCTCTAGGCTGAACATGTACAGTGAAATGAATGAAACAATTGCTATAAAAAAAATCCTGCAGGATATCAACTGTGGGCCTGAGGCTGCTTCCTCTTTCTTAAATGACAAACGAGCACCAAGCCGATTTTCTCTCTGAGGTCATCAGAAGGATTGAAACTTTTCTCACTACGTGAGTTTCTGTCCATCGACTTCCTTAGAAATCTTGCATGCCATCAGCAGAATGGGAGTCACTTCAAGAGGACCCCGCAACAGATCTGTCTGTAGCATCCTTTCCGGTGATTCTAAGAAGCACAAAGCAGCCCCATCGTGAAAGGACATGACTCAGATTTTATAGGCTAGGGTGCTTAATCTTTTGCTTTCTCATACTACTGGCTGAAGTCTGGCAAGATTATTTCGCCAGTACCATGTACTGCCTTTCATTTGTCCTCTCACGAAAAGCCTGGGCCAGGCTTTCGTCCCCACTACCTGTCTCCTCTCTGCTCACCTGTTCTTGTCCCATTTAAACATTTATAGTCCAAGATAACACAGCAGACAACCTGCGTGAGGAGAAGAATTGGCTGACTGTGCATGAGCCACTGCAAACCTGTCAGCTACCTGGCTCCAGGCGGCCTTTCCCATGACAGCTTTACGGCCGACACTAAAGAAGAATCAATATGAGGGCAAGGGGTTGACATTTCATTTTCTAAAAAGTGATCCATTGAGGACCAATCACCAAGCACTGTTTATCAGCCTGGGGAAGTGACATTTTTTTTTAATGGGGGAGAAGGGACAGGAATCATCGCTAGGTAACTCGACAGGCTCAGTTCTCTAAGGTGGGGACTCATAATTGGAAATCCGATGCATCCTGCTATCAATCCTACCTTATGTAATAAAGTGATCAATAAAGGCAGAGAAGAAATTAAGTAATCAGGCTTAAGGATGCTATTTTCCGTAGTCATGGCTTTTAATAAACTTGTCTCCCCGATTACATGTTCACGTGTTTTTCCTTTCTTTTCATCAAAGCCAATGTTTTAAGTAGAACATCCAAAGGGAACTCATAATGAGGTAACTTATTTCTCATTACTCCAGTTTGACTGCTGTACTTAGGGCCACTTATACCAAAAAACAAAAAAGCAAAGTAAATGTAAAGCAAAGCTGGACTACAACTAGAGAATGTTTCCAGTAAAGTCAAAGAGATGGTCAAGACACAAGGTCAACACCTACTTTCTGCAGAGAAGTGCTCTGAGCATCCTATGGTGCTGAATTTTTATCAAATATTTTTAGAAGTGGAGGTATTTAATGAATTGTATCTGTTTTTAAACCATTAAACATCTTTATTTTCTAATAACAAAGATTATTTCTGGATACTGTGAAAATTTCAGACACAGAAATATGTAAGTATAAAATAAAAAAAGCACATGTAATTCCTATACACTCCCCGACATGCTCCTTGCTTCCCACCATCAGATGGATATATACTAATGCATACATTTCCCGGTGGTTATATGCACAGCATGTGTACATATACAAAACTAAATGGCAATGTACAAGAAAGAGGGCCATCTTGATTGGCTTTCAAAATCAAATACCAGGGAAGGAAAGAACAGTGGGAATTCAAATTCTATGCAGGTCAACCTTAAGTTTCTGAAGGCCAAGATATACTGCTGTTTAGAATATAGTAGGCATGCCAGTGTCTATATGTTTTTATATGTGTGTATATTAAAGAAACAGAAATGAGAATTTATTATGGATTTAACATCTCAAGATTTGACTCATCACTCTAATCCAACATAGATTTTGCATCAAAAGCAATGAACACAATGTAAAATAGATGCCTGTACAGAATGTGTTGTTCTATACTGTGTTATATTAGAGTGAACATAATTGGCCCCTGTATACCAGGACACTTTGGAGAGTGAGGGTGGGGGCATGATATTAAGAAATACATAGCCACACACGGTGGCTTATGCCTGTAATTCTAGCACTTTGGGAGGCTGAGGCAGGCAGATCACTTGAGGTCAGGAGTTTGAGACCAACATGGCCAACATGGTGAAACCCTGTCTCTACTAAAAATACAAAAATTAGCTGCCAGGTGTGGTGGCAGGTGCTTGTAATTCCAGCTACTCAGGAGGGTGAGACAGAAGAATTGATTGAACCCAGGAGGCAGAAGTTGCAGTGACCCAAGATCATGCCACTGCACTTCCAGCCTGGGCGACAGAGCAAGACTCCGTCTCAGAAAAAAAATAATAATAATAAAAGAAAAGAAATACAAGCACCAACTGGGACTATCCAGGCAAACTAGATTATATGGTCATCACTCTAATTATAATGTATATCAGAGGAAAGTAAAAGCATAGTGGCTTGCCCAGGCCAGTGGAAATAGCCAAAGGCATTGCTATGACATTGGTGAGATCATCAGTAGGCAGAGAGGGATAATGCAACAGATACTGGCCTGAGAGCCAAGTACAGCTACTGGTGGGGCCAGTAGTAGCTCAGACTACCACTATGGCAATGTGACGACCTTGGGCAAGAATTACTTCTTTCCTAGGACTACTTCCCTCTTCTAGAAAATGAAAAGCTTTACGTTTAAGAGGATCCTTTTGACATCCCCAGGTTTAGCCCTTTTTTTTCACCAACAGCCCTATCTTGTGAAACAGTTGATGGTATATGGGGATGCAGATCAGGGAAGAGGCAGACTCTTACACATAAAAGACAGAGAAGGCCCAGGTGCGTGGCACATATCAACGACCCCTCCTCTGGAGCCTCTAGGCAGGCGACAGGAGTAAGTAAATGGAGACGAAAAGAGTAAGAAAAACTGGTTCAAAAGAAGATGCTGCTAATCTGTTGCTATTTCTCTCTCCTTTTTAGATTATTTTTTAAGTAACAAGTCAGATTGTAAGTACTTAGGCGATAAGGACTCAGATGGTTTAGGTTCATTTCCAAGAGCAATGTCATGCCCATGATTTGCTCAAGGGATAATCTCTGGAAATCCATTGATTCTCTGGAAATGCTGACGGCCTTTCCTGGGGGAAGACTGAATGTGCAGTACCCATTTCTTTGCTTTAGTGACCATTACTGTTAACCAAAATCATGTTGAAGCACCTCCTGTGTGCTGTATTATCTATTTTGCATATCAAAATTCTACTGTCAATAACCCTTTGAGGCAGATAATAATTATCTCTATTTTACAGAATAGAAATACTCAAAAAGGTTTACGTAGTAGTAGCTGGCAAATGACAGAGCTCAATTTTGGGGCCCAAGTTTTATAGGGCTTTTTCTTGCCTTTGGCAGTGAGTCCAGGCTTAAGAGAGGGATAAACGTAACACCTGGCAGCTTAAAGTATCTAGAAATCTCCCACTGGCTTGCTCTTCAGCTTTGTTTCCTACAATTAGCTGGGTCCTTCCGGACCTCTCAGCCTGCCACCAGGGTACAGCTAGCAGCTTTAGTGGGGGTGTGGGAAGATCAAAGCAACAAGGAGGAAGCTTGGGATGCAGATGTCATGTTTATGATGCAATCAAAAGCCTTAGCTTTGTGTGGAGGAGAAAAAAAACCATCATAAATACTGGGAAGGTGGGGGGGCTGCACAGTGAGCGGCTTCAGTGCTTACCTCCGGCTGATGACAAAAGCTGCAATGAGAATTACCACCAGCACCACACTGCCTGAGACAGAGACCAGAAGGACTGTGGAGTTGGCCCCATCTCCAATGATCCGGGAAGGCACTGGGAATGACAATTACATAAGGGTCACCTTTGGGAAAGTCTTAGGAGGCAGAACTTCTGAATGGGTCACAGTTTTCAATGTTCTGAAGCCACTTGGAGAGAGAAAGACACTTGAACATTTCAGAAAGGGCAGCAGTTTTGAATGTACCTCCTTCCCCCAGAGCTATCAAAAACCTGCCTCTTTTTGCCTAGTTCAAAAGCCACTTCCTCCTTGTACCCTTGCTGGATAATTTCAAAAGATGTCAATCCCTTTCAGATTCAACTCTACTTTCTCTTCTGCTTTTTATTCTTATTTAATAATTTGTGAACAAAGTTTCTTTCTTGAAGTCAAAAATTCTGCCCTATCATCTTTTTATCAAATACGTCCAATTTGGGTTCATTAATTACTGGGGATGGAGGTATCTTACACCAACTGCTTGTTCATGGGTACGCCCCTCTTAAGCACTTTAAATTTAGTCAACCAGTCAATCCAACTCACAATGTTTAAAGATTTGATATGTTTGTTCAAAGGGTCTTTAAAAAAAAAAAGCTTATCTGACTTGATTTAAATGATTCTTAGAAATAAGTAGGGAAAAATATTTGTGGTGCCGTCTTTAATTGTCTCAGGGAGAAAATTCCCTATATTAATGTTGGGTAGCTATGCAACCCTCAATTTGTCAGTTTAGTAATCCCATTTTTCATGGTTTATAGAAGGCTCAAAACAAGAGAAAAATAGGCAACATTTTTCATTCATAGGAAAAGACAAATCAGATAGTACTTTGAAAATGCCTTTCTCTAAATCACATGAAGTTTTCTAAGTTACAGACATTGGCTAACTTATTTCAAGCCATGTTCATTGCAGCAAAATGTTTGCCTAACAAAAAAATATAGACAAGTCCTTAGATTTCACTGTAATGGGATTCACCTGTATTATAAAAATAGCCTCAGAATTGACTGAGTCCGGGTGGTCCTTGTTACCTGTGTTGGTTGTGACCTCCAAGGGCTCACTGAAGTCTCCATAGCCAGCTGCTGTCCTGGCTCGCACGTGGAAAACATAGGAAGTGAGAGGGTTCAGGCCTTTGATATCTGTGTTCCTGGCAGCTGTCCGAACTATACGATAGCTTCGCTCATTCTGATCCTACATCATGGGAAGATAAAATTGGGGAAGGTAGCAAAATAAATCTCCTACTTACTCTAGGTGCAATATTAAAGGAGTCAAGCCAGTCGACTCAGAAGCTGAAAGCAAATGGAGATGAATAAACTCTCTGGAGCCTATATTCTCTTGGATGTTATAAGTACTATTGTTACTTCTTACTTGTTGAAAGAAATGCGGAATTCAGGTATGACTGTTATTGACGCTGACCATATCCAGATCTTTCCTCCTACTCTTTTTTTTTTTGAAAGGAACATTAAATGATGGTTGGTGGCTTTTCTAACTCCACACCCAGCAATTTAAAAGAAATAACTGTGAGAAGGTCCCTTGTCTTTTTCTATTTTCTGTCTAGAAAATGTAAAATGTGTTGTAACATGGTTTCAATGGAAAAATCCTGTCCCTTTTCTACTTTTAATAAGAAAGCCAATAAGTGATTATCTTTAAAAAGAAAAAGAAGACAATTGTTCATTTTCTAGATAACCTCGAATGCAAATAGCTCTCTTCAAAATTCTATCCTTTAAGAGAGACAAGTTATTTGTAAAAATAATGCCTTTCTATAGCTTTAAGAGGCTGAAGAATGTGATTTTCCTTCCCTGACTTTCTATTAAAAGTCATCAAAACCCACATCTTTATTCTGGATAGCAGTGATCTACTTAAACAGATCATTATTTCAACTGAGTCACTCTCCCTGATATAAGGTTCATAGATTAGAACTTCTTAGCTATCTTGATTTCCATTACTAGATAGTAAAGATATAGCTATATTACAATACAATGTATTATTATTATTATTGTTATTTTCTGCTTTTCAGTATAACTAAGTAAATGATAAATTTCATAATCGTACTTAATTGGGAAGCAAAATGCATTTGATCGGGGATTCACTGGTATTCCATGACTTACAACTGGCTAACACTTAAACAGAAGGGAGGGAGCAAAGGAGGATGGGAAGGAGTTGAGGAAAGAAGGAAGAAAAGAAGGAGGGAGGGAGGGAGAAAGGAAAGAAGGAAAGAAGGAAACAAAGAAGGAATGAAGGAAGGGAGGGAGGGAGGGAGGGAAGGAAGGAAGGAAGGAAAGAAGGAAGGAGTATTGTTCACTCAAGTAATACCTTCTCATAATACTTGACTTCGTATTCCAGGATTACACCATTGGGCCGATCTGGTTCCAACCAAGCCAGTGCCACACTGTATCTTGTGACTTCTTTAGCCTGGACCAAAACAATGGATGATGGTGCTGTTAGAAAAAACAAAAGACAAAGGACATTTTCTTTAGGAAAAGAAATGGTTTTGGTGGTATCCAGAAATAATTTCATGTTATTTAAGAAAAGTGTGAAAGATTGTCTTGTCTTCCCCTTGATCATTTTACTCTTCAGTATAAAATCATACCATTTTTATCCTTCTCTCCAGTATATTTTTGTATGTGTTTGTCTTAAAAAGAGAATCTCTGAAGTAAAAGCCTGGTGGGCTCATAGGCTTGTAGTACCATTTCCACAGCATGTAGAGACATTTCTCATAAAAGGCTGTAGCTACAGAGAAGGCTGTCTTGTTTTTAACCTTTTGTAAGCCATGACAGCCTTTGGAAGACCTCATTTTAAGCTCGGTAAAGCTACATCTAATCCTACCTCCCAGTATTATGAGTGCCATCTTACTGGACTTTAATTTCATATGAGCAAGAGAATGTACAAGTCTTCCATAAGTATTGTAGGGAATGCCAAAGGGCAAACAATTTACATACTTTCCAATATAAATAAAAGTACTGCTTAATTACAGTAAGAGTTCAGTCTGAACGCAACCATGTAAATAATGAATACAAATCAAGCAGTGTTGGTCTCTCTGAACACACGTGGCATTTTGCAGCTATTTTATGAGAGCTGACATGTTGCCTTTGCCTGCTCTTTCCACTGCGAAGGACACAAAGGCAGCCCTCTAGCGGGTGTGTTATGGGGTGGAAGGAGGGCCCACTTGAGATTCATACACCCAGGCTGCCTGATGCTCACTTCTCCACTGTGGTGGTCGCATCTCCAGCCAGCCGTTATCAGGCTCTGCTGACACCGACAATGGCTGGTACCCATGCGCAATCTCCAGGGAGAAGGGAAAGCATTCACGAAATCCTTAATCTTATCTAACAAAGCTGCCCTGGAGAGCCAGAGATTAGAGAGCTCCCTAACTCCAATGTATATATTCTTTTGTTCCCAAACTGGGGAAACAAATGTCAAAAACTGGCCACTGAGGAAGAATAAATTAGTGCTGGGTCATCCTCCTGCCCTTTTACAATACATGCGTATGACTGCCAACCCCTAACTCCAAAGAACAAAGATAAAAAGTAAAATACATTGTCACTGAAAATGGTATGGGAAAAGCTTCAAACCTGCTTGAGCATGTCTGACGGGTGTACTGATGGCAGGGAAACCAAGCAGACGCACCATAGTCAAACAAGGGAGTTTTCCAGCTGAATCCAGTACAGTAGAGACTGTCTTCTGGAGGGGATTATTTGACAGCCTGGGATCTCTACTAGGCTGGTAACAGGCATACACGCACACACGCACACACACACATACACACACACACACACCCCTATTTTTTTTTTCTTCTCTCTCAGTCCCAAAGCTATTCCAGATTGCATCTCAGGCAAAAACACAAGAGAAAGATACAGTAGATACACATGTCCTCCATCAAAGGCAATCCCAAGGTTAGTAATACCAAACCCAGTGAACAAAGCTGCACGCGGCAGACATATGGAAGCCACTGAACATCTGAGGAAAATGAACAACGGAAATGTGCTCATTACATTCATTAAGGCTCCCTTGTCCCAACACACACACAGGCACACACACACACATACACACACGCTCACGTTTTCTCTTTCTTTCCTGGCTGACACAAAGCCATTGTCCAACAAAATGCAAAAAGTGACTCTGAAAAATATAGAGGTAGCAAGGAGGCTAAGAAAACTGCCTGGCTCTGGAAAGTCATTTCACTCCAGGTAATAAATACATTGCCTAACAGACCACTGTAGCATACACTCCACAAAAGGCGCTCTTTAAACTCTCATGTTCAGGATTGAGAAATGAAACAGAAAAGTGAGGTCACCAGAAAGAAAGTGGGAGGGAGAAAAATCATAAAATTATAAAATGAACTTTTTCTCAGAAACGGTCTGGGTCAGATCCTGATAATCGACAGATTCCTTGGGAACGAATTGCCTGCCTGCCCTTGGAATGTACTGATGAACTAAGACAGCTTCTCTCTGGTTGGGTTATCATTAAACTGCTGCATATGGGAAATGAGCTTGATTTCTATTTTAGAAGTTTGAGCAGCAGTGTTCCTGTGACCATTCAAAGGGAATATGGACTCAACAAAGGTGCTCAAAAAATCTCACGCAGGGAGTTGGCAATATAATCATGTTAACTCATAGAGTATTTCTAATGCAGCCCTGCTTGGGAAGCTGATACGCATACATGTGAAAATAAACTAACAGAGTGTACCTTGACACAGCTGCCATAAAAATGGAGAATAAGGAGATATTGAAAGAGAAATGCAAGCAAGAATGAAGGACTGAATGAAAATAGAATGCTAGGCTGAGGACAGTCAGAAAACTGCTGAGTTGACATTTGTCTTTTGTACCTACTAGACAAATAAATGCAACCAAGGAAAAGCAGAATATATAGATCGAATTCACAAAGAGCATTATGTTGTATGGCTGTAAAGTCCAAATTCTTTATTGATCAGATGTTCTTCAGAAGAGCATGTTATCAGGGCACAATGACACAAGCAATCCATGAACAAGTGAGGTTGGGAAATGTACCTGAAATATACAACTGCACTGAAGTATAAGATGCCAGTCATTTTCCACCTGTGGAGAGCTTATCTTCTCTAGTAAGAAGGAGTTTGAGAAAATCTGGGCTTTGCCATACTGCCACTTTGGAAAGGAGGCAGCTTGAATGTTCTCTACATCATAAGACACATATGGGCTTTTCCTTCGCCTTTTCTACCCCAATTCCAAAACAGGCTTCAACTTTACATCTGGAAGGCATCACCCTACTGTGTGTGCCTGCCTGTGGGTCATTTCCCTAGATGAGGCATTTGCCAATGACATTTTGCAATTTTCCCCTACCGCGGTGTTTCCCAAGCATCAGACTTCCACGCCACACATTTGCTGCCACATCCCTCTGCAGCTTGTAAGATGATTTAAGTAATATTTTCTTTAATAAATGCAGTATCTTTAACTTCAACAGTTGTATTTAAAAAGAAATTTCTCATTTACTGGTATCAATGAAACCCTGTAATCAGTTGAAATTAATGTCAAGTAACCATAAAAATGAACATTGCATGTAAATGAAACAATGTTATCAATGTTTGCTGGACACTCTTACTTCTCCAAGGATTGTTAAAAATGGAGATTAGCCAGTGCTAGAGAAGCAAAGGATATCTGGGCACCGACATGAGATTCTGACCTTGGAGTACTCAGAATTACTGAGAAAGAATTGAAAATGAACTACATTGTACACAGGGCAATTCAGTATTATATAACATCTCATCAGTGTGTTCCCGAAAATCATCTCTGATGCCACCATTGGTATGTTTCCACACTTTGGTAAACCATGCCCAACCCAAAGGTCTTGAATCCTGATTTGCAATATTCCAGGGCTCTGCCCTTTGCTTACAGAATTAGAAGAGGAGATAATAGATTTTTTTTAAAAAAGATTGTCCATCCCACCCTTAAATATATAGTTCAATAAGAGCTTTGACCAATCAATGCCTAAGTTCAAAAGAGAGCTTCTAATTATAGTAGAACATTTGGTCACCATAAAAAGACCAAGCAGAAAAAAAAGATTCTCAGTGGCCACTCAGTTCTTTGATTTACATTCTGAAATCTTGTAGAGACAAGGTTCTTCCTCACCATCAACTCAGCCACTAGACACATACTTAATGAGCACCTATGGAGCAAGGCCAAGACGGGGAATGGGTAAGCATGGCCAGATAAAAAACAATTCTTGGTATCAGACTAAGTACCACCAAATACTTTCGCCTCTTCTTAACTAGAAGAAGGTTTGGGAAATTTTTATAATAGTCTTACGTAGAAAACACTTTCCAATGTCAAGTCAGAGGACCCATTTTTCAAGAATTTAAGAGGAGACGATTCCTACTGCCCCTCTTCTCATTCAAGTTCTCTCATGGGTGATGGAGAGGAGTTAAGTAGGGGACACTTTCTCACACATTCTATCTGTAGACACTCAATACACCTGCTGAGTGTCAGAAGCGAAGCTAGGAAGAAGCTGGGGGGCTGATGAACACATTCTCACTATAAGGAAGAGATGCGTCATAGATTGAAAAGCATTCCTATCTACCCACGGATTTCTTTCATAAAGGAGGTTCTTGTTTTAAGGACAGTTTTGTGCCTCCGGACAAATGCAGGCATTCTTTAATGGCTGGAATTTAGTCATGACACATAGCAATGAGAGCTGGTCATGTCAGTTGACAGTAGTATGGTTAAAGAAAGATGATGATGTAAAAATCACAAGGCAAGCACTCCGAAAGGGTAGCTCTTTAAAAAAGATGTGTGATTTAATTCAATGGAGTCCTTAATTTTCAAACCTTTACAGCAAAATCTCCAATGACTCATAGATGTCAGTTTTGCTGGTCTAAGATACCTATCCTGAGACCTTCATTTTTTTATTACTCACAAGGAGATTTCAGCAGTTTTTAACCCAAAACATGTCTCTCATTTCTTGTTCTTTTTAACTTACAAATCATGGTGACACATGCGTTCAATGGTGCTCAACAAATTTGTCAAATTTTTACATATTAAAATTCCTCTAAAAAAATCTTTACTGTAGACAGCAAAAATTTTCTAAACATGAAGTACCAGAAGTAAGCCATCCTTAAAACAACTTTCCATCTGCACCTGTTTCAGAAGACCTTTTGTGGGGTTGGTTGTACTATTTAGGTTAACTGAGATATTGACAATTGGGGTGAAGCAAATGACAACTCTAATTATAAATGGAGTCTCTGTTGCTAAGGTCTGTGTGATGCTTCTGAACATTTTTCAAACACACAGCCTGTCAAATGTCATTCAAATGTAAGTTAACATTAAAACTAGGCATCACTGCACCTGTTCCAGACAGCATTTTGAGGTTCTGCTCTTTAGGCTGAGGAAGGTGTTGGCAATTTGCTCCACATTTCTTCTCTGTATCTGTAGGGCATATGCAAATAGTTCTCCCGACTTCCTAACTGCCA